TTTTTTTATTTTTTTTTTGTCAGTAAGAAATTGGCAATATGAGTTCATGCACAAAGTAATTTCCCTTTAACAGTGAACTGGAGACTCCTAATTATCTTGACACATTGATTCCTTTATTTACAATTGTTTCTCACACAAAACCCAGTTTTTATCTCTTGTACATTACTTTTTATAGATTTTTTTTTAACTGTAGATTAACTTAAAACATACTCTCCTTTAATGTAATATAGATCCCATCATCAGTAGTGGTCCAACTTCATTGTGTAAAAAACAATTTTCATATGGATTTTCCTTTTTCATATAATTTCCCATTTTCAATAAAAAATACTTTTTCTTTATTGCAACATCAGTTAACATTTACTGTTTGTATTGCTTATACATTTTTTATTTTGATAGCTCTTAAGCCTGAATGATTAATATCTTTGGCTTTGTATTTTAGGATGTCAGGAGATATCGCAAGCAATGTTAGCATCTGTAAGTATATCTTCATTGATTTGTTTATATATGATGTAAGCCAATAAATCCTATGAAGTTTTTGGGCATGTTGCAAGTAACATGTTGCTCATTGGTCTTCATTTGGACAGCATTGAGTAAGACTATATGTTTCTATTTGCAGCTGTTGTCAGTGGAACAACTTCATTCGGTTCTGTTGGAGGTGGAGGAGGATATGGATCTGGCGGCGGAGGAGGAGGATATGGAGCTGGAGGCGGAGGAGCATATGGGGGTGGTGGTGGAGGAGGATATGGAACTGGAGGAGGATATGGAGTTGGAAGTGGTGGATTTGGAGCTGGAGGAGGAGGTCTTGGAGCTGGAGGGGGTGGATATGGAGGAGGTGGATACGGAGGAGGAGGTGAAGATGCATATGGGGCAGGAGGTAGCTTTGGATCAGGTGGAGGAGGTGGGTTTAGTGGTGGATATGCTGTTGGTGGTGGAGGTGGCAGTTTCAGTTCTGGAAGCAGGCAAGGGATGGCCATTGTCTCAAAAACAACTTCTTCCTCTTCAACCAGAAAGGCCTACTAAAACCAACAGTTTCATTATATTAATGCCTACATAAACTGCAGTAAATACAGCTGATGGCAAAACTATTAGCTTTGCTAAGAAAATTAAATTGTGGCAATCTATTTTTCAGTGTTTCTTAGTCTAATCTACAGTGCCTCCAGGTTTCTAAAACTTAAACATACTGACACCATCCAATCTAGCTAAATAAACATTTTAGAAATGACTTACACAGCTATATGAACCTGAATTATCGGCATCCACTTCCCAACATTCTGAAATAGATTTTTACACATATCCAACCAATTAGAGACCAGCAGAGAGCATATCTTACATTACTTTGTCTCTCTGCTTCCTTTCCAACCTCCATCCATCTCGTCCTTTTATCGACCAGTCCTTCCAGGATCAATTAATGATGATAAGAGTTATTTTTTATATGATGCATTTTTTTTTGAGAAAATATATTAAATATATTAAAGGGAAATGTATAATTTTAAATATAACCTGCAACACTTTCATAGGAAATGATAAACTGGATACAATTTAATTTGTGTAATGATATTTTAAAATATTCATTTGCACATAGTATTTACAAATTCTTCCAGGGTCAAGTTATCGAAAGTATTACAAGCATTTTGCATCGTCACTCAATTGTATTCTTTTTTTTTGTAAAGGAATTTACAGGCATTCTCTGTGTGCTTTAAATGTTTGTAATATTTTCATACAGACACGGAACAGGTGTTAGAAAAACATCTTCAGTTCTATTCACATCTTATCATATCAGGCTGATGTAACAGGCTTAGTAGTTATTTTCAAATGGTTTACAGTCCCAATCAGCTATTGTGACGCTTTAGTAGAACAGGCTTGTTTAGACTCTTGACCTGTAAATTCATCAAATTAATTGTCTTAAAATGGCTTTTAGAGTTGTAACACTGGTAAACAATTCCAGTACTGGCAAATTCATGCAGATCTAAATTGTACAACGTTGTAACATTGTAGAAACCAGGAGCAGAAACTGTGGAGGAAAATACAAAAATTATGTAAAGACTTTATTGACCCTGAGGAATACACTGCATTAAATACCACTTATCCATTTTGGGTTTATTAATTAACTATCGAGTTGCAAAAATTCTCAAAATTTCTAACTTGCTTGGGTTAGAAATATTTGATAACGTGGTTATCCCAGTGATACATTTTACATCTCGGCTATTAATTCAGTGTTTAATCATGAAACCCATTTGTATTGCTTTGTGGCTATGTTTTTTCCATGTTCTATTTTCATTGTCTACATCTTTTTGTATCTTTCGTTGTATGTTCTGTGTTCGCATGTTCCAGATCTTTGCATCAGAACTACTGTATTAGTGCAAATATCGGTATAATGTTCCAACTTTGAAATACTGCTTGGCACTATTAAATACTTTCAAACTTTCTACACCGTACATCTATGAGTTACTCTTTTATGAAACAAACATCTAATAAGTGTGTAAATATTTGTAAGGTATTATATTGAACCATTTACAAAGAAATTTGTGAAAGTAAAAAAATGCACTTTCATGCCCAACTTGCAGATCATTCAGACATATTTTACAATTTGCAAATGTTTTTTTTTTTTTTCATACTGTTTATTAAACAGTGTGCTGCTTTACAATGTCAGTTATCCTTCATAAATCTCTAGATAAAACAATACCTTTGTATTCTTTCTATGCAATATTCATTTCTGTCTGAACTGTTTATCTAATAAACTGCATATTAAACACCTTTTTTGTTGTCGAAGTTCTGTACACTTAGTTAGTCTATATTAATTATTTAAATATAAGATTATTTTGTAACTTGCCAAAGCAAAGCAATTATTAAATATATGAGGCATTCCAATGTCTCAAGTAATTCATTTTCTAACCAAAGTTCAACTTTGCAGGACTATCACATGAGATACATTTACACAACTTGATAATTAATGGAACCCTTCATTTAAACAAATTAAGGGTGTTATTTTTTTCAGTTTACATTACATAGAAACATAGAATGTGACAGCAGATAAGAACCATTCGGCCCATTTAGTCTGCCTTTCATTAGTCCCTGGCATTATCTTATAATTAGGATAGCCTTATGCCTATCCCATGCATGCTTAAACTCCTTTACTGTGTTAACCTCTACCACTTCAGCTGGAGGCTATTCCATGCATCCACTACCCTCTCAGTAAAGTAATATTTCCTGATATTATTTTTAAACCTTTGTCCCTCTAATTTAAGACTGTGTCCTCTTGTTGTGGTAGTTTTTCTTCTTTTAAATATAGTCTCCTCCTTTACTGTGTTGATTCCCTTTATGTATTTAAATGTTTCTATCATGTCCCCCCATCTCGTCTTTCCTCCAAGCTATACATATTAAGATCCTTTAACCTTTCTTGGTAAGTTGTATCCCGCAATCCATGAACCAGTTTAGTAGCCCTTCTCTGAACTCTCTCTAAGGTATCAATATCCTTCTGAAGATATGGTCTCCAGTACTGTGTACAATACTCCAAGTGAGGTCTCAACAGTGTTCTGTACAATGGCATGAGCACTTCCCTCTTTCTACTGCTAATACCTCTCCCTATACAACCAAGCATTCTGCTAGCATTTCCTGCTGCTCTATTACATGGTCTGCCTACCTTTAAGTCATCAGAAATAATCACCCCTAAATCCCTTTCCTCAGATGTTGAGGTTAGGACTCTATCAAATATTCTGTACTCTGCCCTTGGCTTTTTACGTCCAAGATGCATTATCTTGCACTTATCCACATTAAATGTCAGTTGCCACAACTCTGACCATTTTTCTAGTTTACCTAAATCATTTGCCATTTGGCTTATCCCTCCTGGAACATTGGGTGAAGGCTCTGCCGGGTGAAGGCTCTTCCTGGCGGGTCCCACGTGTAATCGACCATTGCTGTGGTTACCGTGGCAACATTTAGCAAGAAGCTACGACCCCTGCGACCGTGGAAGGTACGCCACTGTATATCATTGGTGTGTTAATTTTACATATGTGGTGCAAATATTTTTTACAACTCATGGTGACAATAAACAACAATAGATGCTAAATTAATGTCCCTAGATTTCTTGAGCAAGCTGATTTTCATGAAAAACATTTAATTCTTTTTTTGGACATGTCCTCAAAAATGTTGAGCTTACGAGATGCTATAAGGGTTTTCAAACTGATACCAGTGAACATCAATGGCTTTCTAATAATGGTTACTGATTCTATACAGTTTGAAAATACTCTACTTCAAGAAAAATATTTTGTTGAATTTAAGGATGAACCAGAAAAGACAGTTCTAGTTGGACTAAAATCATTTATAAGAGATAAAAGATGGTTTACTGGTATCTGAAGGTTGTCACATTATTCATTTTAAAACCATAAATCAAGAGAACTCAGGAATAAACAAAAATTTAGCTAAATCAAAAAAGCAACCTATTTTGTCCAAGGGGCAACTCAATTATAAAAGATAATTAAAATTTAACTAGGTTATCACAAATGGGTAGTAAGTGCCTTGGAAACTATTACTAGTAAGATTTTCCATGAAGTGCACTGAGAACGAAATAGTGAAATAAGAGATGTTTTTCTATCCTCTCTCTAGTCCTTGCATAGTAAATTCCACGTATTTCAGTCCGTTCTGAAGAAAAGTCTTTCAGAATGTAGGCAGGGTCATCAGCTTTATCTGTGGTCAGCACATAAATAACTTACAAGGTTTAAATCAACAACCCCACAAAACAAAGGTATGTGTTTGTAAAACAACATAAACACGAATGCCTTTAAGGAAACAACATATTTTCATATGTATAGCAGGTTGAACATAACAAAGTGCTCAAAGCTATGACCAGGGCATGGATGTAAATTGATCTGTTAAAAAATAGCCAAGCCCATTGCTTTGTAAAGATAAAAGCGTAACTGAAATATTCAGAATACACTGGCTCATCTCTTGAACTGGTCCTTTGCTTTTTTTATTGTCTTTTGGGTGAATCATCTGTTGCCAAAATGAGCCGGAGTCAATCAGTTTATGGAGTTAGTTCTGGAAGAGGTTTTAGCACGTCCTCTTTAGGACAAACCAGCATAAACAGACGCATTTCGGCCCCTGTAACTCAAAGTCAGTTTGGGGGTGCACGTGCTGGTTTTGGGAGCAAAAGCCTCTTTCAGTTGGGTGATGCAAGTGGTGGTAGAAAAATATCCACTGGTTCAAGTGGAGGTAGACTTGGACAAGGCTCAAGTTTTGGAATTGGAGGGTCTGGTGGTTCAGGTGGCTATTCAGGTTCTGGGTCTTCTGTTCAATCTGCTGGTATTGTTAATGTGAGTGTTAACCACAACCTTCTGGCTTCAATTAAAAATGTGGAGATTGATCCAAATATTTCATTGGTAAAGAAGGAAGAGAGGGAGCAGATCAAGACATTAAACAACAAATTTGCATCCTTCATTGACAAGGTACATTATACAAAACTGTTATTCTTCATTATAACATCTATCTATCTATCTATCTATCTGTCTGTCTGTCTGTCTATCGAGTGATCAATCGATCTATCTATCTATCTATCTATCTATCTATCTATATTTCTCTTTCTGCCATCTACTTTCTTTCTGCTGTTCTCCCTGTTAATCTTTCTGTCTGTGTTTCTGCCAGTTTCTCTGTGATATTTATCTTCATAAATCAATATTCATGTGTGTGTGTGTGTGTTTTTGTGGCCTATATTTATGTTTAAAAAATGTCTTGTGGCAAAAGTATGATGTTTATCATTAAATAAATATATCTCATACTGTTATTATTTGTTTTATTGATAATATGACATGTTCAAGTTGCTTATTGCTTTCTTATTGATGATTAGGTCCGATTCCTAGAACAGCAGAATAAAGTGCTCGAGACTAAATGGAGCCTCCTACAGCAACAAGGAGGCCAGGCTACTGTCAAGAGTGACATTGATGGTATTTTTAAGGCATACATAAACAGTCTGAGAAGCCAGTTGGACAACTTAAATAATAGCAAAGGTCGCCTTGATGGAGAACTGCGTAACATGCAGGATCGCGTTGAAGAATTTAAAACAAAGTATGTACATTAACATATAGATCAATATTATAGGTATGTTGTACTCACACTAGAAAAGTTCCCATGGGAGAATCTGTATTTAAAACGCTTAAGCCAGTAATGGCTAAACTTGAGTCTGCATATGTTTATGAACTACATTTCCCATGATGCCCATGATGCCCAGCCTGCTTTATATTGAGTACCATGTGAAAAGTAGTTCACAAACGTCCACGAAGCCACGGTTAGCTGTCATTGACATAAGCCATGTATACTCAATGGCAATGTTCAAAAGGCTGATCATATAGTTTGTTCACCCTTAGGACAAGATAATAAATTAAAGAACTGCTAAGTGGTCTAGTAGATCAACATAAAAAGCTAGTAAACATATTTGCCAGAGTTGGCTTCTTTGATGTTTGAATCATACTTTGCTATAAATATTTAGTGAAAGGGAAGATATGCTGAAGTGTGTACCTTCAGGCGCAGTGATCCCCCAGTGAGCCACACTATGCATATTAGCAGACACCACATCACACTATGAGAAGGTAGAGTTGTACACTGCTCATGACATTACACACCTGACTTGGAATACATGTCTCAATAGCATTTTATATTTGTATTGGAACATTCGTTGGGAACATTCTATTGTTTTCTGTTATAATTGCTCAGTTTTTACACCTTTGCTCAACTCTGTTATATAGTTTTGTTTATTGTCTTACTGCCCCATATATTGTGCTAGATGACAAGTCAGCCTTTAACGTCAACAACTTACAACTTATGGTTTCTAGAGACAGTTTACAAGATTATTGTCAAGTTCATAGAATGTTAGAATTGTAGTGTAATTTGCTAAGGTGCAGCCCACTCATTAAATTTAGAGCATAGAAACATATTTGACATAAGAAGTTGCATTGATAATTTTATTATTTTACTTCAATTCATTTTACATGTGCCCAAGAGTTTGTGGAGTATTTTAGAAAGATGAATGCATTATAATGATCATTTTACACATTTGCCCATGTATCATGATAATTGGGGGGATTTCCATGGCCTTTGATTCTCCTTGGTACGGGTAGGCAACCTTCAGCACTCCAAATGTTGGGGACTACATGTCCCATAAGGCTTGTACAGCCATAATGCTGGCAAAGTATCATGGGAGGTGTTCTCTGAAACATCTGGAGTGCCGAAGGTTGCCTACCTCTGTTCTAACACTAATTGGATTATACTTAAATCCCCTCATTGCTTAGTATATTATGTCATATCTGTGTTTCTTACCTGAATACAAGTGCCCTACTAAAGGACATGTCCAAGTAATCACTAAATAGGGCCAAGAATTCCTATATAATGTATAAAGAATCCTACAGAAAGATTCACAGCATTAACCGATCATTACAAATAATATGCAAGCATGTCAGTCACCATAACTACTACAGATTACCTTTAATAGTCCTATTTAATACTAGTAGTACTAATGTAGCATTGGTATTAGTATTTTTATGCACAGGGTGTGGTTTCTCAAAACAATTGCAAAATTCCCCAATACACTATCATTTTATCTTTTAACCATAAATACTGTGATAACCAGTTTGGTAACAAGTCAGATAGTAACTGCCTGCATGTTGTAACATTACATGGGCTTCAGTGTCTATGTATCATCATACAGTCAAAGTGTAATGTAATGATAATAGGTAACTGGTATTAATGTAAAATAAACTAAAAAGGATAAACTGTTAGGCAAGTATGAACTCAAGCTTTATCTTATCATATTGAATGTAATTTCAACAACCAATTTCAGTCACACTTCAGAACATGGCACCTTGTAAAATTTCAAACAGCACATGTATAACTTGACTGCGGACCCATATCTCAAACCCATCGTTTTAAGTGGATAAGGGCAACGGCCACAGCTTTATTAAACTGTAATACAATATTCTTAAACCTTGTCAGCTGTTGGGTGAGAGCCCAACAGACGGTTCTCCAACCTTCTCTCCAAGAGCCCAACACAGCTGTCACTAGCCATCAGCCATATGCAGACTGTAGATTCCCCAAGGTGACAACTTGTCTTACTCCTTCCCTTGACTATGCTGTCCAGGAATCCCGCCAGTTGTGATAATAGAGGAAAGCAAAGAAAGACCACACACACACACCAAATCCAGGGAGGAAGGGTTGGAAATTCTGTAAGGGTCCCTCAACTGATCCTGCTGACTGTTAAGTCCCCTCCCCTCTACTCTACTTGAAACTCCTCCATTTTCTGCAACATTGATGCAATCTTTAACACCAGCACGGAATCCATGGGTATTAGTTATGCTATGCCTTCCCCATTTGTCCAGGGGTAAACAATTCTACCATTTTTAAGAAACACAGTAACAGATTGCACAATAGGTTAAAGATATTTAAAGGAACACTATAGGGTCAAGAATAAAAACATGTATTCCTGACCCTATAGTGTTAGAAACACATGCTCCCCTTAAAAAATTAAAAACTCACCTTTTTTTCCAGTGCTGCACGGGTCCGCCTCCTTGGCTCACATCATTAGAATTGATGATCTCAGCAAATCTCAGCCAATTTCCCATTGGAATGGGTGAGATTGTCAATTCTGAGGATATCAGCCAAGGAGAGAGGGTGAGGGTGGTGAAAAAATACTGCCTTAGTCAATCAGCATCTCCTCATACCCTCAGTGGCTACTTACACATTTCAGCTCTCTGTTTATAGAGTTTGATGAAAGGTCAACTGAATTAAGTCATCCAGAAGAATTTTAAGAGAAATGTAATATTAAAATTATGTCAATTAATATGTTGGCATATGGTTAACAAGTTCACATTCAGGTAAGCAAATGTAAAACTTTAAATAAATCTGTACCTGAAGTCCGTTTCTGTAATATCCAAAATGGCATCCAGAAATTGAACAAATTCAGATGGAAGGGCCATATTGACTGCAAACTCAGCTGACCATGTTCCCCATTTTTTTTTTTATTATTCATACCCATAGCATAGCAGCAAACACTAAGATATTCAAAAACTCTGATGAGAAAAATTAAGTTTTTATTCATCCCTGAGCTAACACTTTTATTAGCTACATAGTTACATAGCCTAATATCTGGCTGACATAAAACATGTTGGTGATATAATAATATAATAGCAGTATCTGTTCTGATAGCAGTATAATTGCACTAGTAACTGCTCTGTATATGATAGTGTGATACTGCAAAAATAAAATTATGATTTAATAAACATTGCGACAGGGTGTCATTTTCTCACTATATATACAATATCTTTGTACAGGTATGAAGATGAAATAAATGCACGTGCTGGAGCTGAAAATGACTTTGTTGTACTGAAAAAGGTAGAATCTTATAACTAACATTACAAAGTAATGCAACAAGGGGGTTAATTACTGACATCAAATGTGCACCCTGTTGTGTGAGCTGCTGAAACTTTTATTATTAATGTGTAAAAAGAAGAGGAAAGAAGGACTCTCCTGAATTTCCAAATTGGGGCATAACCCAATATATGTAGCCAAAGAAACAAAAAACTCCAGTCTCTAACTGCATAGAATAAGGAACAGAAGAGAGGAATTTCTCATAGCAATTAAAGTACAATTTATTATTACTGGACACAAAATCCAAGTGTGCAATTATTAATGAGAATACCTAATAGGTAAGAGATTAGGTGTGAGCTAAAATTCCACTGATGTTAAGCCCCTACAGTTATGGATATTTCCTTTATTAAGCTAGGGAATCAAAAGTGGTCTATTAACTGAATCTCTAAAATGAAATGAAATATTCCCTTTTGCTGGACAAAAGATCCAAGTGTTTAATTTGGGATAGACAGTACCAAATAGGAAAGAGATGTAAGATAAAGTTCCACTTATGTTAAGCCTCTATGATTCTGAGTTTGGGCATCAGAAAAGTGGTCTATTAACTAAATCTCTACTAAGAGAAAAGAGGATAGGGAAATGGGAAACATACAGATAGTAAAGATTTGAGTATATTACAGGGTGGGGATAGAGAGCCTCTTATCATCAAAGGGTAGTGGTTAATGGCAGGGAAAGTACAAAATCTGTAACCTATCACAATGTTGCAAATGGAGTAGCGGAGTAATTCGAGTGTCGGAGGTCCTCAATGTAATAAGAAACTGAATAGCTTTGTTAAAATATATTATATTATACAAAAGACCCCCTTCTTTTTCCTCCTCTCTCATCTACTAGAGAAGCAACAAAAAGTGTGACAAAGTTATTAGAGGAATAAGGTCCTCGCGGTAACTTAGTACTGGATAATTTAGATACAAATGTAATTACCTAATACCTCGGGATAACAGACATATTTTAAGCTCCCTACTGGGATTGTCTCTAAAACAAGTTGTTGAGGAGCCAACTCGTAAATAGGCCATACTAGATTTAGTGTTAACAAATGGAGATTTGGTATCAGATATTACTGTAGGTGAAAGTTTAGGATCCAGTGATCATCAGTCAGTGTGGTTTAATAGAAGAACAGTGACTGAGTCACACCACACAAAAACAAACGTTTAAGACTTTAGAAAAATAAACTTTTCTAAAATTAGAATATGTGTAAATGAGTCATTATCAGACTGGAGCAATATAAATGGAGTCCAAGAGAAATGGGATTATTTAAAAGTTGCACTGCTGAAGGCAACAGAAAATTGCATTAGGCTTGTCAGTAAAAGCAAAAAATTCAAGAAACCACTATGGTACTCCACAGATGTGGACAAAATAGTATAAAACAAAAAGTTAGCATTTAGTAATTATAAAAGTGAGGAAGTCAGAATGATCAATAAGATTAGGCAGAAAGAGGCTGAGCAAATTATAAGAGCTTCCAAATCACACACAGAAGAGAAAATAGCACAGTCAGTAAAAAAAGGGGACAAAACATTTTTTAGATACATAAATGAAAAAAGGAAAGTAAAACAAGGATTAGTTAGATTAAAAACAAAAAAAAAGGAAGGTATGAAGAAGACGATAAAGGTCTAGCTGACAGCCTCAATTAATATTTTTGTTCAGTATTTACAGATGAAAATGAAGGAAAGGGGCCTCAGTTAGGAAAAAGGACAAATGGGTCTTTTGTTACATGTGAGTTTACAGAGGAAGAGGTTCTATTTCAACTGTCAAAGGTAAAGAGTAAGTCAATGGGACCTGATGGAATACACCCAAAGTTATTCAAAGAGCTTAATGGTGTACAAGCAAAACCATTAACAGATTTATTTAACCAATCATTGTTAACAGGAGTAGTCCCAGAAGATTGGAAGTTAGCGAATGTTGTGCCCATTCACAAGAAAGCTAGTAGGGAGGAGTCGGCAACTATAGGCCAGTAAGCCTTACTTCAGTAGTGGGGAAATTAATGGAGACCATGATAAAGGATAGGATTGTTGAACATCTAAAAACATATGGATTTCAAGATCAGAGACAACATGGGTTTAGTTCAGGGAGATCATGCCAAACTAATCTTATTGATTTTTTTGATTGGGTAACTAAAATAATAGATCAGGGTGGTGCAGTAGACATTGCTTACCTAGATTTCAGTAAGGCTTTTGACACTATTGCACATATAAGGTTTATCAATAAACTGCAATCTTTAAGTTTGGATTCCAATATTGTTGAATGGGTAGGCAGTGGCTGAGTGACAGGCAACAGAGGGTTGTAGTCAATGGTGTATATTCAGAGCATGGGCTTGTCACCAGTGGGGTACCTCAGGGATCTGTACTTGGACCATTCTCTTTAATGTTTTTATTAGTGATATTGCAGAAGGTCTTGATGTTTAGGTATGTATTTTTGTTGATGATACTAAGATGTGTAACAGGGTTGATTTTCTAGGAGGGGTAAGTCAAATGGTCAGAGTTGTGGCAACTGATATGTAATGTGGATAAGTGCAAGATAATGCATCTTGGATGTAAAAAGGGAAAAGTACAGAGTAGAGTGCTAACCTCAACATCTGAGGAAATGGATTTAGGGGTGATTATTTCTGATGACTTAAAGGTAGGCAGACAATGTAATAGATCAGCAGGAAATGCTAGTAGAATCCTTGGTTGTATAGGGAGAGGTATTAGCAGTAGAAAGAGGGAACTGCTCATGCCATTGTACAGAACACTGGCGAGACCTCACTTGGAGTATTGTACGCAGTACTGGAGACCATATCTCCAGAAGGATATTGCTACTTTAGATAGTGTTCAGAGAAGGGCTACTAAACTGGTTCATGGATTGTAGGATAAAATTTACAAGGAAAGTTGAAAGGAACTTAACATGTATAGCTTGGAGGAAAGACGAGACGGGGGGATATGATAGAAAAATGCAAATACATAAAGGGAATCAACACAGTAAAGGAGGAGACTATATTAAAAAGAAGAAAAACTACCACAATAAGAGAACATAGTCTTAAATTAGAGGGGCAAAGGCTTAAAAATAAGTATTACTTTACTGAGAGGGTATTGGATGCATGGAATAGCCTTCCAGCTGAAGTGGTAAAGGTTAACACAGTAAAGGAGTTTAAGCATGCATAGGATATGCATGAGGCTATCCTAAGTATAAGATAAGGCCAGGGACTAATGAAAGTATTTTAAAAAATTGGGCAGACTAGATGCGGCGAGTGGTTCTTATCTGCCGTCACATTCTATGTTTGTATGTTTCTATGATAAAAGATCCTTACATGTCATTTAAATAGGATAAATAACTAAAAATGTAAGTATGGGACTCCAATCTCCTCACTATCAATCCTAACCCAGCATCATAGATACAATCTTGAACTCTGAACCTATTTCCAGCAAACAAAAACCCATACCCTCATGCTCCCCAAATTTAAAGGAAAAATAAAAAAATAATAATAATAATCAGACTAACTTATTTATTTATCTATACAATATTTTACCAGGATGGATACATTGAGATTTCTCTTTTTTTCAGGTATGTCCTGGGTCTTTGTCCACAAAACATTGCATTGTTACAATAGGATACAATATTCCAAAAATACAATATACAAACTATATATATACACACATATTTAAATTTAATACATAACAGGTAATAAATATATTCAACCATGACCAGGTGCATTCTGTGCTGAGGTATTTTGCCATAAATCTCTTAGAAGATTTTAGATTGAGTGAAGATTTGACTGTGTCAGCTTCCCAGAAATGTTCTTATGCACAAGGCTGGAAAGATGAAGAGTGCGTCGGGATTCCAGTGACAGCCAGTTTAGCTCTTTTAACATGTCACAGTGGTGGGTAAAGTACTTACATTCTAGTACAAAGTTGCAGAATGAATTATATAACGTACTAGGTTTATTAAGGTGGGTTTGCGGTGCGGGTGCATACACTAGGTCCCCATAATCAATGACCGTCAGTAGCGTTATGCTAACTACAAATCACAAACTAAGATAAGAGTTAAAAGTAAGTAACGCCCAATGCCCATTTCGGCGCCAAAAGTAGTGTTCCTTCACCTGGGGCTAGCGTCAGAAGAAGGCGCACTACTTTTAGCGCCGAAACGCTCGTCGGGCATTACTAATGTTTAATTTGTATCTTAGTTTGGTGATTTGTAGTTAGCATAATGTCCAGCAATAGGGAATATTTCATTTCCTTTTAGAGATTCAGTTAATAGACCACTTTTGATGCTCTAGCTTTATAAAGGAATCCATAAGCATGTAGGCTTAACATCAGTGGAATTTTATCTCACACCTAGTGTCTTACCTATTAGGCATTCTCATTAATAATTGCACACTTGGATTTTGTGTCCAGTAATAGTAAATGGTACTTTAGTTGCGTTTTTTTGTATCTTTGGAAATTTAAATAATTACATGCATTAAATGCAATTTCTGAGTGTCAATGGATGCATATTTAATTGGAGCATATTTTTTTTTTTTTACCAGTAACCAAATTTACTGTGGTTTATTATTGCGCTTTATTATTTTGCATACAAGAAGTGATAATTTGTTTATGTAAAATCCCTTTAGGATGTAGACACTGCATACTTAGCGAAGGTGGAACAAGAAGCAAAAGTGAATGGGCTGAATGACGAGCTCAATTTCTTAAGAAATCTTTATCAACAGGTAATTATCCATCTTGCAGGAGTTTTGTGTTTCAGTATCAATTTTTGTTGATCTACTGATTATTGAATAGGACATTTCTACTTCTTTTTTTCTAGTAATTTTAATTTAATCATTTGTAAGTGATGCCAATGGCTAATTTAACATTTAGAATTTTCTGTGCTTGTGATGGTTGTGTCTAACCATGTGCATCAATGTGGCATTTGATTACATTTGAAAAGTCAAATTAAAATTAAATATTTTAAGGATATATATTTTTTTATGAAAAGAATAAACTTAAAGCAGAGTTGGATCAGTTGTGTTCTTTGATTACTAAGTTAAAAAAAAAAATTGAGTTCCATGTATTGGAGACTAGTTTTCTAGATGTCTGGACTATTTGAAGGATAATAAAAATGCATTGGCAACAGGCCTACTAGCAAGAGTACTATTATCTCACTTCAATTTGAGTGGGCGTATAAAAGGGGGAGGATGGTTAGTGATGTTAATTGCATCACAGGTGCTGTCCAAAGGGGGGCTGAAATGGGGTCTGATCCACCCAAATTACTGGCAGGTCAGTCTGAGCATGAATGCATGCCAGGCTGCATACCAATCACACAGGTAAGCCCACTGACGGTAGACCACACAGGTAACACTGTTTCAGTTTTCTCTGCAGGGTCATGGTAGCCTTAGAGTAGCATGAGCGAGTCTAGTGATGCACTCACATTATGCTTTTTGGCAACAAACCCAGGAGGAAGGGACAGGAACCAAAAATTGGGACTCTCCCAACATAATCTAATGATTTTCCCTACATTCCTTCAAAAACTCAATATTATTGATTTCAGAGTAATTATAAATACATATTGAAATGATTCTTAAATGGGCCCTCTTTATCAGAGTAAAAAAAATATAGAGGTAATGTTATCAGTATTTTTCCCTTATGTAACTGCAGGAGCTTTCAGAACTTAAAGATCAAATATCTGACACTTCTGTCATTCTCTCAATGGACAACAACCGTTCCCTGGACCTCAATGACATTATCGCTGAAGTTAAAGCACAGTATGAAGATCTTGCCAATAAAAGCAGGCTTGAGGCAGAAGAAAATTTCCAAAATAAGGTACCAAAAAACAGTATGTTAACCAAATGCAGGGTGTTGTTATACCATTCTATCCGAAGAGCAACGTGAATATATTTATTATTTAAGCAGAATATATAAAGACCCTCAAATAAATGTGCTATACTTTTGATTAGATCTTTGAATTTGGTGTACTTACATCTATATTCAATCTTTCTAGGCAGTTAACCTGAAATAGCTTTAGACTAATTGTATCTTCATTTGGTATTCTGTAATGAAAAAGTACCTCAAGGGTGTTTCTTTTGGATATATGTTGGTTATTAAGAAGACCTATATTAAAGTCAAAACAGACTTTAAAATTATATTTCTTACAATTCAAGTGCCCAAAATAATCAAAGATGATAAAATATAAATAATATAATTTATTTGCTGGTGTATATTTTATTGAATATAATTAAGAAAACACATGGATAAAAAAGGCAAAAAATTAAACACAAGACAGTTTAAATGTTACAAGTCAAACTCAAATGACTGATGGTGCGCTTTAGGCAATGCATTGTATGTATTAATAAAGCACAGTTAGGTTTGGAAACCTGATAATTATTATTATTTTATTATTTTATTATTTATATAGCACCATCAGATTCTGTAGCGCTGTACAATGGGATTACAATGTAATGCCTAAAAAAAACATAAAGGCTGACTGTGCAAATATACTATAATGCCATAGAATATAACATTTGCTTTTAAAAATCAATGTTAAAAAAAGAAAATATTAATGCGTCAAAATGTCCAATATTTTAACTTTCTCAAAGGATAAAAAAAACATAAAAAAGCTAGTCATGAAACGTCAATTTAAATTGGAAGAAATTATTTTTAATCTTTCTCTCTCATTATTACAACAGTACAAGCAGCTGGAGGCTGCTGCAGGCCAACAAGGAGATGACCTGAAAAATATAAAGAATGAAGTTTCACAACTTAATCGAGCAATTCAGAAGCTGAAGGCTGAAATTGAGAATGTGAAAAAACAGGTAAGGGGCTCAGGACACGTAATCATTCCAGCTTATTTTACTGTTCTAGAAAATTTCAACTAATGAACAAAGAGGTTTTCTTTTGTCACTATAAAATAATCCAACTTTTTGTGTGTGTGTGTCATCCAATATATGATATGTTTTCTGATTATATATTTTACTTATTGCTTGTAAGTGCTTAAGGGATATGTAATGGATTTTAAAGAGCGTAAAGGAATATTCCATGCAGTAACCAATCCACTGGTTTTATTACTGCATAGCCAATGACTGGAAATAGATATACACAAATAATACGTTAAACAATAAAATATAAAAAAGATACTCACATTTGCTACAAAATCTTTGAAGCATCTGCAATAGGCTTACACCAAATCAAGAAGTAATGCTAATCATTCTTACTTACCTTTCTATAGCACTGCTAAGCATATCCCTTAAACATAGGTTCATGACCACTATTTACAGAAGATTTCTGAGTGTTGTAATCAATTTAACATGCTCAGTCATGATACAGCAATATTTTGGAACTTAAAATGGGTGAGCGTAACTAATTACGTGTAACTAATTATTATCGTTGTTTTAAAAAGCTAAGATCTTTAAAATATACACCCAGAATACTAACAGTAAACTTTCCTACATGTTGCTCAATATATTTGTGGATGCGTGGAACATAACTTCAAAATTAAAATACCTAAAAAACAGAACATGAGTGCATTTAGCAAAAATAGGTTGCGCCAATAATATAGTCCAATATAGTCAGAGAATGCATGTGTGCTTCTTAGTTAATGGCTCTCCAGACTTCGGTTTGTAATCCAATTTATTAAATGAAACAGAGAGATGGCCGATAATAGTGCAATATGTTTAGTGCTAGGTGTGGGCTCACAACACAGATATGAAATATGAAAACTAGTGCTCACATTTGATGGAGCTATAAACCAGCTCTAAGTAAATGGCATACAGTGGTATAATCCCCCCTAACATGTAGCTTTATAGAGCGATAGTTTGCAGATAAATATACTGGAAAAAATATAAAGAAAACAAACAACAGTGCACACTGTGGTAAAATATAATTCCAGATAAAAATCATAGTAATTTACTCACATTTAGCTGAGCAGTGATACTGCTCAATTAATAGTGCCTGGCAGGGGTCAAGTCCTGGGGAATAAAGTGTGGGAACTCACCCAAGTTACACCCCCCACCAGAAAAAAATACACTTGTATGCATATATAAACGCGTGCACACACACACTGACATGTGCACACACACACAAACACACAGACACACACATACACTAACAAACACACACATCCACTCACAGACACACACACACATACACTGACAGACACACATACACTCACAGACACACACACACAGACACACACTCAGACACACACTTACAGACACACACTCTCACAGACACACACACACATACACACACTCACAGACATGCACACATACACTCACAGACACACACACACACTCATAGACACACACTCACAGACACACACTCTCACAGACACACACAGACACACACACTCACTGACACACATTCACAGACACACACACATACATACACACATACACTCACAGACACACACACATACACTCACAGACACACACATACATACACCCACAGACAGACACTCTTTCACAGACACACACACACTCAGACACACATATACACTAACAGACACATACATGCACTCACAGACACACACACACATACACACACTCACAGACACACAGACATACACTCACAGACACACACACATACACTCACAGACACACATACACTCACAGACACACACACACACTCACATACACACACTCTCACAGACACTCAAACACATACACACACACACTCACAGACACACACACATACACTGACAGACACACATACACTGACAGACACACATACACTCACACACACACACACACTCACACTCACAGACACACACACACATACACTCACAGACACACACTCACAGGCACACACACATACACTCACAGACACGCATACATACACACATACACTCACAGACACACAAAAAATTATTCATATTTTTTTTTAATTTTAAAAATGTCCACCCAGCCTCCCTACCTGGAGAGCTGGCGTGGTCCAGTGGGGCTTCAGTGCGGCGGGCGCCTGTCTCTGTTAGACGCGGTGAGGGAGCTGTGTTCACTCTGCTCCCTCTCGCAGCGCGGGCTGTCTACTGATGCTAGGAGCCAGAATATGATGTCATATTCCGGCTCCCGCCATCAGCAAACGGCGCACGAGGGAGCAGAGCAGAGAGGACACAGCTCCCTCACCGCCTCTGACAGCGAGACAGGCACCCGCCGGGGGGGGGGTCCATCAGGTGGCCATTAGGCCACCTATTGGGCCCCCCATGACAGGGGGAATACGGGGGGCATTTCAGGGCAGCATTTTTAGCTGCGACCTGAGTGCCTGCAGGACCACAAATGGGAACGGCGTTCCTGGTCTAAAAAAACTGCAGGAACGCTATTCCCATGCGTTCCTGCAGGACTCGAGACCTGGCGCCTGGGTGGTATAATCCCCACCAGTGATATCTTGTCAGGTAAATTCTCCAGAGAGTTATTTCTCACCAGGGTACAGATGTAGAGTAGATACTTCAAGGAGTAGGTGTGTCAGGAAAATAATAAAATTTAAAATAATAAAAGCATAAAAAGTTAAATAAATGGTCAAACACACAAATGAGTGAATGCCAAAAATACTTTAATGCTAAAAAATAGAATAGTAAAACAAATACAACGCGCTTTGCCGGTATAAGTGCTTCTTTAAGTGTTTCTTACAACCACTGATTGGCTGATTAATTAGACAAATTCCTGTGCCTACATTTGCATGTTTCTTCTTTTTATTCAGATTGCCAGTCTTGAAGCATCTATTGTTGATGCTGAACAACGTGGGGAATTTGCTTTAACAGATGCCCGAGAAAAGTTGGCTGACTTGGAAGCTGCTCTGCACAATGCCAAGCAAGAAATAGCTCGCCAACTGCGAGAATACCAGGAACTGATGAACGTGAAACTGGCTCTGGATATTGAGATCGCCACCTACAGGAAACTGCTGGAAGGAGAAGAAAGCAGGTTTGTGGTCTTGCAGAAAAGCCTCTCAAATGTGCATAGTTTTTGTTGATGAGCATAAATCTAATTTTAATATGTTTAATATTGGTAAAAATTCATGTAGACAATAAATTTGACAACTTTAATATTCTGATTATTTATATATATTTTTTATATACAGTTTCATCATTTATAATAGGGGTACTGATAATAAACATATCTTATTTTATCCAAACATTGGCCTTGATTTTATATTTTGGATAAACTTGAAAAAAATACAAAATATTAAAATATGAATTATATACATGAAATAGATCAATATATAAAACATGTAAAAATATTAAGATATTTTTTAAAATATAAAATTATTTTAAAAGTTAGTCCAAAAATATTAAAACATTTGGAAAGCTTACTTAACCGCTTCAGGATGAAGTCAATAGTGCACATTCTGATCAAAACAAAACGTAAACAAAAACTGGAATTTGCCCTATATGTCTGTTCAACCGTAATTCACCGCTGTCACATTAAGTGCACCCACACTTATTATATATAATTTTGTTCAGGAGAAACAGGGCTTTAATTTATCATTAACTATTCATATTTATTCATTTATTATGAATAAAATTAAATGTGAGAAAATAAGATTTTTTTTTAAATTTGTATTTCCATCTGACATTTTAGCTGTGAATGTCATAATACTGTTAGGTTTTACTGCAAAAAAAATGCATATATTTGTAATCAGCGATTAATTTAACATGCTCAGTCATGATACAGCAATATTTTGGAACTTAAAATGGGTGAGCGTAACTAATTACATGTAACTAATTATTATCGTTGTTTTAAAAAACTAAAATCTTTAAAATATACACCCAGAATACTAACAGTAAACTTTCCTACATGTTGCTCAATATATTTGTGGATGCGTGGAACATAACTTCAAAATTAAAATACCTAAAAAACAGAACATGAGTGCATTTAGCAAAAATTGGTTGCGCCAATAATATAAATTTAGTTTCAATATTTTATTTATTAATTTTCTTATTTTATTTATTATTGTAATTATATGTATATATATAATATATGTGTATATATCTATTATATATATATTATATATACATATATATATGTAACGTCATTCTAAGTGTATTTTAATACTAATATATGTACTTATATTAATATGACGTTACATATATATAATATGTATATATATATATAGTATATAATATATATACATATATTATATGTTTATAAATATATTTATTTTATAACATGTTTAATTTTTTTTTATATTTACTTTCCCACCAGCAGGGAGACTGTCTGACATTTCAGACAGTCCCCCTGCTGGCAGATCCACAGCCAGCTATAGGGGGCCATGTGATTGCTCTTTGAGAGCGATCACATGGCCCCCGGGAGCGCCGGGTAGGTAAGTATCCCGGGCGCTCCAGGGCTCAAAGCCGTTACGGCGTTCTATGCCGCCGTTACGGCGTTCTATGCCGCCGCAACGGCTTTAAAGCCCACTTAATGCGGGATGGCATAGAACGCCGTAACTGCGTTAAGGGTTTAAAAATATGATATTATTGAAAAAAGAGAATGGAAAATTAAGAAAGAAGGCAAATCTGAACAATGATTTCACTGTAAATAGGTTTTCATTTTATTCTTGATTTAGGTTACTAAAAAGCTTAAAATTGAAAAAAGTAGGTGAATTTGAAGAATGATTTTACTGTAAATATGCTTTCATTTTTTTCCAATTATTTATTCCGAATATTTTACCTATAACTAGCGATTTGCCTATCTCAGTCTATATTTGTATTCTCACCATGTGTACTTTGATTAATGTGATTGTCTTTTTTTCTATATAGAATATCGGGGGAGGTCACAAATACTGTGAATGTCTGTAAGTAGCTCACTATTTATGGTCAATTTTCACTTAATCAAAAGTAATGTACATGCATTTTAACACATTTTAACTTCAATCTTTTCAACCCATATGCTGTCAACTTTCGGATACTATTATTAGTAATTTGTACTAGTTGCATTACTAATAGCCATAATATCTTCTCATCAAAAGGTCTCATCCTAAGTGCTTTTAACAAAAAGTTCCCGGAACATAGAGCCCAGAGTTAGATACATAAGCAGTTATTCACGTAAAACAATTCTTAAATAATTATATTATCAATATTAGCAAAGTTAAAACTTTAGCATATTTTTCTTTGACTAACACACTTTATGATAACACACAAAAATAGATCTTTATTAATTTTATTGTGAAGTTCTTATTCACATTATACTTTCTTTTATTACTATTTATTATACAATGTGAAGATAAATATACAAAAGTTCTAGTTATTTCTCTACTACAATTTATGGCAACATAGTCAATAGCTGGGAAAGTATGGTATAATTATATTTTAATATTCCCTATATGCAGTGACATTAAACTTGTCTATTAAATAAAATATTACCAACCTGCCTCTTTGGTAAACATTTTGTGATGTTTTGTTTTCTTTTTCAAATCTTAAGTGTCAAATTAGGTTTTATGAGCATTTGTACTATTTAAGTACCGTATTATTTGCCCATGCCCCCCAATTAACACATAGGTCAGATATACAAATTACATTTTGTATGGTACACATCCAAACATTGCTCATTCCATGAAGCCTACAGGCTGCTCCAGCTGCAGGCATTTACACTCTGAACCCATTGAAGAGATAGACAGACAGACTGACAGATAGACAGACAGATGGAAGAATAAATAGACAATACTTGGAAAAATGGCTTAATATTAATAGTCTGTGTTGTTTGCTCTGCAGCTGTAAACAGCAGTAACCCATCATCTTCGTCTTCGTATGGTTTTGGTGGAGGATACAGCTCTGGGTACGGTGGAGGAAGTGTCAGTACAACAAATACAGAAAGAAGACGCCCAGCTGTAAAAATAATATCTACCACCGAGAGCCTGAAAACCTACTTGGGCTAAAGATGCCATTGGCAAAGTTCTACCATGCTTTTTTTCCCAATCATTCACTGTTTCATGGCCAAATTACTTCAATGAATGTATATACAATGATAATAATCACTAAATGAGTTGCACATTGTTAGTGAATACAATATCCTTACATCCTTCAACATTGCTCTGAAATTATATGGGGATGGTTGCGGGTTCATATAATGACGAGGTCTCAGATAATCATTAACTCATTCATGATGAAATGGTAATAATTGAATGGTGACAGACAACGCACAGGGAACATTGATTACATTATGGGAAAACAGTCATTAACATGTTTTTAATGCACTATCACAATGAACAAAATACACTTTTCATTGTTTAAATCCTGCTGTGAATTATGTGTTAAATAAACATGGGACACATCTTTATTGTTATTCTGAATCATTTGTTTCTGGCGAATGACAAGTTAATAGTTTGTTAAATTGTAGAGAGTGCACATATAACTCCATATTTGTACGACAAGATATGCAGAACTGTTCAAGGGGCATCCAATGCTTGGGTTCAAGAATTCTAAAACATCATGTTTGTTCAAAGCAAGGTTCATGTGTTTTGCAACCACACCTTGAAGGGAACATTTAGTCCAAAAAAATAAAATATATATATTTTTTGGGGGGGACTGTAAGTTCCCTGTTGTTACTGTGATCTGTGTGCATGCTTTTGTAATGCTAAACTGTTTTTTTTAAATATGTAATTAACCTCAAGCGCATCAAAATGGCCTCTTGTGGAGTCAAGCTGACTCCTCTTCCTCTTCTTCTACCATTCATTGCTCCCCATAGAGCATTGGGGATAATAAGCACATGCACGGTGAGATCAAGACACCTCCAATTTAATGGATTCTGAGAAGAATCAGTGGAGATGGCATGTGAGGCGCTGTCAGGAATACAGCCACTAGAGGTTTGTTTAGCCCTGCAATTTAAACATGGCTGTTTCTACTTAAACAGGCCTGTGATTGCAATTACCGGCAGAAGGGGTGGGCTGTGCTGCTTCCCTACTGCCACTGTTTGTAGTGTGGCCAAGTGGACTGACAGGAAATGCTCACTGAAAGAGCTCTTCCTGTCAGATGGGTACTGCTGCAGTTACAGTAGGGTGGGGGTGAGACACATGGAGGGTCTGATGGGATGGAACTCCTTGAGGAGCTTTGCAATGGGACACCTTCAGGGGCTTTTGGAGGCAGTGCCATCTTAACAGCATTATAGACCCCTGGGCAAAGCAGTGCACTAGGGCCCTGCCAACATAGAAACTCACAGGAATAAAAATTTAAATTATTGATAAAATTAAGCTTTTATTTATTGGTAACTCAAGTAAATGCAATACATACATAAAAACAGACTGCTGAGCACACACAAATGGCACACAAATAGCGACATGCATGTGATCAAGATTCTGGAGAACCTGTGGGCTTAGAAGATAATAACATCAACAAATAAGCCTACCTCTCCATGTGTGATATCTCCTACCTGGCAAAGGATACCCTAATCCACATGGGAACCGTAGACACCAAGGCCACAGGGATTGCTCAGAAATCCCAATGATTGGATCCCACCAAGACTGATATACACAGTCTGCCGAGTACACACATACAGAGTGCTGAATACATACACACAGACTGATGACTACAAAGACAGACTACTGAATACACAGACATATTGCTGAGTATACACACAGGCTGCTAAATACACATGAACACACACACACACACACACAAACAGAGTGCGTGTGTGAGGGGTGCAGAGTGTGTGTATAAGGGGTGCTGTATGTGTGTGTGAGGGGTGCAGGGTGTGTGTGTGCATGTGTGAGGGGAGCTGTGTGTGTGTGTGGGGGGGGTGCTGTATGTGTGTGTGTGTGTGAGAGAGAGGTGTGCAGTGTGTGTCTGAGGGGTGCAGAAAGTGTGTGTCTGTGGTACTGTATGTGTGTGTGTGTCTGTGAGGGGTGCTGTGTGTGTGTGAGGTGTGCAGAGTGTGTGTAATGGGTACTCTGTGTGTTTGTGTGTGTGTGTGTGTGTGTGTGAGAGGTGCTGTGTGTACGTGTGAGGGGTGCAGTGTGTATGAGGGGTGCTGTGTGTGTGTCTAAGGGGTGCATAAATTGTGTGTGTGAGGAGTGATACATAGTGTGTGAGGGGTGCTGTATCTGTGTGTTTGTGTGAGGTGTGCAGAAAGTGTGTGTGTGTAAATAGCTGTGTGGGTGTGTCTGTGGTGTTGTTTGTGTGTGTCTGTGAGGGGTGCTGTGCGTGTGTGTGTGTGAGGTGTGCAGAGTGTGTGTGAGGGGTACTCTGTGTGTGTGTGAGTGGTGCTGTGTGTGTGTGTGTGTATGTGAGGGGTGCTGTGTGTATGTGTGAGGGGTGCAGTGTGTATGAGGGGTGCTGTGCGTGTGTCTAAGGGGTGCATAAATTGTGTGTGTGAGGAGTGATACATATGTGTGTGAGGGGTGCTGTACCTGTGTACCCTTCTTCTTACATTTATCCAGACACACACACACACACTGTCACCCTTGGTGGTCTGGTGGTGAGTAGTGCTCTTTAGCCTACAGCTCCTCTGGTTGCAGGCTGCCTATACTTCTCCTTCGAGGTGAGTGCTGTGTCAGAGTGTTGCCATGGTAGAGCCTCCCAGGTCCTTCCTTCCTCTCCTGCAGCCCTGGGTCCGCTCTCCCTCCCTGTCACTAATGAAGGGTAATTGGGCCAGTGAGGGAAATCCTTGATCCAAAGCAAGTGAGCAGGGCTGGCTCTCTGTGGGCCAGCAGGGGAGATCAAAGGATCTCCCCTGTCAGCCCCGGCACATAGGCAACGCCCAGCATTCCCATGCGGAAAGATGGCCCTGTTGTGGGGGGCAATGGGACACCTTGAGGGGCTGTGAGGAGGCAATGGGACACCTTAAAGGGGCTGGGGGAAGAGATAATTGGACACATGGAGGGGCTGACTAGGGAGGAGTGAATGGGACACCTTACGAGGGCTGTGGAGGGATGAGGGAATTGGACACCTTGAGGGTCTGGTGAGGGAGGAGGGAAGGGCTACAGGTGGATCACATGGAGGGGATGAGGAGAGGAGGGAATGGGGCATCTTGAGGAGCTGTAGGGAGGAGGGTATGGGACACCTCGAGGGGCTAGAAAGTGGGGGAAGAAATGAGACACATGGGGGGATTTGGGGAGGAAATGAGACACATGGAGGGGCTTTGGAGGGGGAGGAGGGAATGGGACACCTTGAGTGTAACAGTTTACTAAAAGTTGGAGCCTAGTTACAGGAGATGGCACAGGGAGGAGGCAAAAACCAAAAGCGCAGTACAGATTAAGGGGAAATCCAAAGGCAGGGTCACATGAGAAGCAGAAGTCAGGAATGGCAGTGAAGTACTGTAGTCGGTAAAGAAGGCAGAGGTCTGAGTACAGGAAATCAGTCAGCAGAGTATCAAAGAGCCAGCAGGAAAAAACAAACAGGCAAATAGACCAGATCCTAGGTCTCAGGCTGGGCTGGCTTTTACAGCCTGCTAATTAGGAGCAGCTGACCCTAATTGGAAAAGGGCTGCAGGTGGATCAGCACTGCTCAATCCAGGCAAGGAGTCAGGAAGCAGAATAATGCAGACATCTAGTGAAGCCCCCTGGTGGACAGCATGGTAGAGAACCTGACTGGGATGCTGGAGCTATGAGTTTACAGATACCCTTGATAAAGGCAACCAGTTGGTGCCGAAACATTGGGGGAGTTGGTGACTTGTGTTTCTGCCTTGGGGCTTGAAAGATATTTTGGTATAGTACTATTGTATTACTGTTTGCCTCTATTTTTGTTACTTTGTTTATTACTGTTTTTTGCTTGATATTGTGTTTTCTACTGATTAAACTCTTATTGTACGTAATAATTGAAGTTGTTATAGTGTGCATTCAATATTATATATGGATGTTGATATTTAAACACTTGAGGGAGTGTTTATATGGTTTGCACCTGGTTTATATAAATATAATTTTGTCTTTCCATGGGATTTTGATTAATATATTATATAGTAAAATTCCAGTGAACTCACTCAGTCACTAAACAGCAACCTCGCAACCTCAAAGCTCACCTCCAAAAGGATCGGTCACCAGAAACCAGCCATGGACTGCAGTTTTGACCTTGTTGGTCAGCATTGCACCAATTCTGATCTGGAAGTTAAAGTTTTCTGAGAGTATATAGCTAGGTAACAAAAATATTGTGGTCATGCCAAATATGTTGCAATTCCCCACAGGGCAAATACAAAAAAATAATAGTGTTCTGTAATATCTGGAACAAGTTGTGAGATGAAGCTTCCATGAATTGCATTCATTGTTCCAGCACATCCCACAAATGCTCTATCAGATTGAGATCTTGCAATTTGGAGGCCAAGACAACACCTTTAAGTCTTTATCATTTTACTCAAACCATTCCTGAACATCTTTTGCAATGTGGCAGGATGCATTATCCTGCTGAAAGAGGAAGTGAAGGAGTGTATGATGGTCTGCAACAATCTCTTGGTAGTTAGCACATGTTAAAGTAACATCCACATGAATGCCATGACCCATGGTTTCCCAGCAGAATATTGCCCAAAGCATAATACTGTCTTTGTTGTCCTGCCTTCTTCCCATAGTGCATCCTGCTGCCATTTCTTTGCCTGGTAAATAATGCCATCTACCTGATCTAAAAGAAAACATGAATCATTACACCGGGCAACCTTCTTCCATTGCTCCATCGTCTAGTTCTGATGCTCACATCCCCATTGAAGGTGTTTTTGGTAGTGGACAGCTCCATGCGCAGCAAACTGTAATGCACTGTATGTTCTGACACCTTTCTACAATGACTAGCATTATGTTTTACAGCAATTTGAGCTACAAAAGCTCTTATGTATGATCAGAGCAGATGGGCTAAACTTTGCTCCCCACGTGAATCACATGTGCCTTGTGCGCCCATGACCCTGATGCTGTTTCACCAGTTGTCCCTCCTTGCACCACTTTTGGTAGATATTAACTACTGCATCCATTAAAACCCCAGAAGACTTGCTATTTTGCAGATGCTCTGACCCAGTTGTTTGACCATCACTATTTGTCCCTTGTCAGAGTCAATCTTTTCACTTGCCCATTTTTCATGCGTCCAACATAAAATTCAAGAACTGACTGTTAACTTGCTGCCTAATATATCCCATCCATTGACAGGTGCCATTGTAACAATATAAGCAATGTTATTCACTTCACCTGCCCATGGTTTTAATGTTGTGGCTGATTAGTGTTTGTGTGCAGTTTATTCAGAAAAAAATGAATGCAAAAGATTTGATCTTGAGCAGATGTTTTTTAAGACAAAATCCATGTTTAGAACATCCTGGCACTATAGCTCCCCCCTGCTTCCCCTCTCCTTCGCGCCCCCTCCTCGGTAAATAAAAGGTTAAAAAAACCTTTATTTACTTACCTTTTCCCAGCGCCAATGTCCATTGGTGCTGGGGCAACGTTCCGTCCCCCCCTCTGTCCCGTGACAAATGTGGTCTAATGCGCAACGCTGGAGGTCCTCATGCAGAGCGTGAGGATGTCCGGCATCAGATACTGGACCAAAGGTCCGTTTTAGTTCAGGAGCCACTGAGGTCAGACTTAGAGCTGCAATGTAAACAATTAGCTGCAGTAGTCTGGATGTCTACAGTGTCCCTTTAAATAGGCATATACAAATAAAACAGAGGATGAATATGATGCTAGTGATGTCATGGAGGATGTCTGTCATGACAAAGAGGCTAATGATGTCATGAAACAAAGTACACAATATTGGAATATGAGTTGAAATATACTACTACTTTGACAACTTCATATTGTGATGCTCTAATCCAGAAGCTGTCAGATAACCTGAGAACTGTAAGAGGGATCTAGTCCGGTTTAAGAGACAAAAACTTGCTATGGAACAGGCTGATTATGCTGAGCACAATAAGAACATAGGAAAGTGGTTATCAGGGGATAACAACCTGACCTACTTACATATCTCGTATCTGAAAACCAATTCAATCAACGGTCGATATTACTACTGGTGAGTGGACTTCTGATACTGAACAGAACACCAGTATTAAGCCTGAAGTAGTTCCTCAAGCAACCATCAGAAATGTGGACTATTTTTTAGAACCAGGTCTAGGCCTGACAATGGAGCCCATAAACAATCCCAACAGAACAAGAGGACACACAGGTTCAGATCCTCCTTCGCCAGAAAATGCTGAACCAGGAGAGGCCAGATGGTGAAAATGCATACTTTAAAGGGGCAGACTGGCCCAGTAATTAACCTATCTAATAGGACCCTTACATATGTTGATACTAACCTTTTGTCAAAAGGATGATGATTTATATCCATAACAGGAATTGATTAATTTATCTGGGTGTAGGACCAATTTAGAGTAAACTACACTAAGTTAACTATTTCAAAGACAAACCAGACCACCCTTCAGAATCTGGCACAGAACCAATGAGACTTTGACATACTTTTGACAAATAAATTTGTAACAAAAAGAGCTCCAATTGTATTTAAAAACTGTGAGAAACCTTTTAGACTATGAATATTCTCTTATTTTATTATTATTTTTTATCACTATCACATTTTCCATCCCCACATTTCTTTTCTATAAGCCTATACATGTTTTACATATTTTCAACTATTAGCAATACCTAAATAAATGAATTTACAAGTGATGGTTTTTGTTTAAGATCTGGTTCGCTTGCTACCTTTTCACAAGTGGAAACCATTTCTTGATTTTTGTTTTTTTTGTCCTTTCTAGTAAAATAATTTCTTAAGGATTTTTCAGCAAGGGAATTCAATTAATGCATTAAATGTATAAACTTTGTATATCAAGCCAATGAGCTGTAAATGCATAAACCTTATATCGTGCCAATTAACATTAAATCCATAAACTTGGTATATCATACGATAGATCAGGACATACATACAATTTGTATATTATGCCAATGAGCCATATATGTGCCTCCAAAAAGCCTGCCAGTGCCATCTGTGCCCCCAAACAACCTACCGGTGCCATCTCTCAGCCACCAGCATCTCTGTGCCATCTCTCTGCCACCAGCCCCTCTGTGCCATCTATCTGTCATGAGTTTCTTTTAAATTAAAAAGTTACCTAGGTGAGAGAAAGTTTAGTGCAGTGAATGCTAAAGAGCATTTGGGTGAATGTTTATAGATATGACTCAGGGTTATTCACTTAACCCCTTAAGGACACATGACATGTGTGACATGTCATGATTCCCTTTTATTCCAGAAGTTTGGTCCTTAACGGGTTAAAGCAAGAATTCAAAGCGAATTTTAAATATAAGGCCACCATAACATAGCTGCCTGGGGGAATTTTTCCAGTTTGGCTATTTCGGCCTCAAGTTTGACCTTCCCTTTGAATTCACCTTCAATTCTCACTTTAGTGAATAATGCAGAGACAGTAACAGAGCACGGAAGGGTCAGCTGCAGGAATGATTGAGTGTCTTCTCTACAACCACAAATAATATTATGCATTGAACAGATAATGATCTTTTCCCAAAGTTACTGTGAGAAAACACATACTTAAACATTTTTGTAAAATCTTTAAAAGAAGCCAAACCCAGTCTAAGACAGATGACGATAAAATATTGCTTTTGACAGCATGTGCTGGTCTGGGCACATGTGAGCTTCCCACTTGCAAGATTCTTTCAGCCAATAGCTCATGACATGTCTGATCAAATGAAATGTGGTCAATAGAGAAACAGCTGCAAAGTATTCCCTGCTTCTGGGCAACTGCAAAGCACCAGCTTAATAGACACATGGCCAACAGCTAAATAGAGATATGAAACTCACTGTCTAATCAGGTAAAATGAGACTAAATTCAAAGATCTAACTGATAAAGATTGCATTTGTGTGATAGAATCGCCTGAGGGAATGATACGTTTCTACGGTTTTCAAGAACAATTTCAGAAAAAAAAAAAGTCCATGCCCAAGTCTTTAAAAAATAAAATAAAATAAATAAAAATTCTATAAATCAAGTACTGTATGTAAAATGATAAGTGTAAGCATTTCATTATCTCTATTCATTGATCTAACTTGCACATGGTGACTAACTGGTCCTTGTTTAAAGCTTTGAAAAGATTGAACACTGTACAAGCAAATGACAGATAAAAAAAACAAGAAACCAATAATGTATAATGACTTCTCTGATCTAATAGCATACACATGTAAAGGGCTGTGATGGCTAATTCATTGTTAAATGTAAAGTAGGGGCTTATAATTAATAAAAAAATAGTCATACAACTTTGAAAACATGACATTACAAAGTATTTTCATTTCAGCTGAAAAAAAGGACACACACTGTGATACACATTTATTATGAATTAGGACTTTATGAACAGATGGATGATTCGTTCTATCTTTCCTCCTTGTAGCATCCTTGGCTTTGAGAAAGGTGACCCACACGGTGTCATGGTTATAAAATGCCTTATATCAGTGGTTCCCAAACCAGTCCCCCGCTGCCAATGCCGGTTAAGGGATTACCCAGTTGTGTCTTTGTGTCTAAAATGTTTTTTTCTTTCTTTCCAATACACCTTAGACACAAGCGAGTAATCCCTAAAATCTGGACTGGTGGTGCTGGTGGTGGGGTGGTGCATGAACCACTGCTTTATACTGTCAGGGTAATTCACTAGATTGTCTGAATTCCGACCAGTATGGCAATTCTCATATTGACTCAAGCCAAATACGGTTAGCATTCAGCCAACACGGGTGAATCTGCAACAATCGCAACAATCGTCCGGATGTATATGGTGTCCAGATTAAAATCAGTGCTTTTTGCATTGTAACCTTATACAAAGTATATGATTAAGAATATTTCTAATGCACCAGTGAGAGTTAGCCATGTGGCAACTAGCCAGCGTTTGCTTGGCATATCTACTAAACATTTAAAACTAGCAACTAGAAACCCCCCAAAAGACCAAACTAAAACCTGGCAACTAAACCCCTCCATGTGTCCCATTCACTCTCCCAACAGCCCCTCCATGTATACACTCCTCCCTCCCTGCCCCTCCATGTGTCCCATATCTCCCTCTCCCTTCCCTGTGTCCCATTCCTCCATCTCTCCCCCTCCCCTCCATGTGTCCTGTACCTGGCTCGCTGCGATTTGCAAGGTCCGATAGGAAGTACTCTCACAGTGAGCACTTCCTCTAAGACCGCTCTGCCACGATACACACAGGCAGGAGGGGAGCAGCACAGCACAGCACAGCACAGCTCTCCCCTCCTGCCAGACACCTGTAAACCGTGGGTGTCCAGGCGGCCCACGGTCGCCGGGTCGCAGAGTGAGAAGCCTGATTGCAGGTGTGACCCCTGCGACCGTGGTAAGTACTCCACTGCTTGGAGTGTTCATTTTAGGAAAAATTTGCTGTTAGAAATGTTTCTCTATGTTTCTCTGACATTACATCTGTAGTTATACTTAATTATCAAACAATCTAAACAGATGTTAAACAGATTTTATCGTTGATGCACTTAAATAGTAAGAACAGGAAAATGGTCAGTATGTCTGGCTGAATAGCAATACTTAAGGGTTTGTTCTGCATATTGGGATTTTTGTGTTGGCCAAAATAACCTGAAAATTCTGATTTTTGTGACCCAAAGAAATCCTTTGTAAAAGCGCTCGAACTGCCACTTTAGTGGATACAATTTTAACAGCCTCTGCTTTCACCTAAATCCTAAAATAAAAAGAATATTTACGTCATCTCAAAGCAAGCCCTTGGATATTTTTTTCATATTATCATTAGAAATAGAGTTTTAAATAACACGGAAAGACATGGTTCTTGAGCAGCATCATGAACTCATGTTTACACACGTCATTATATGCAATAGTAATTCAATTAATTTTTTAGCATTTATTGCAGTAAACCAATACGTTAATTGATATTAGAGAATTTCTGTAGATGAGCTACGCTGTTATACACATTATTTAAGTACTTTGTAAAAATTTGTAAGAACAAGCTTAACATTTACCTGCCAGGCATACCAAACACATCAATGTGTTATTAGGCAATGTATCATGCCAGGCTGATTATAACGTAGGTCACAAATCCCTAATTTATTCAGAGAATGCGTTATAGTATTCGTCAGTTAATAATTTAGCAATTATCAATTGCATAGCCTTTTTTTTTCCAAGCAAGTGGAGAGAAGTGGCCCAGATTAGAAATTTTGGTTATTTTTTTATTGATCATAATTTCCAAATTATCCATGCTTTTGATATTGTTGTACTTAAAGGATTATTCCAACCAAAATACTTTTCATTATAATTATAATAATTAATAAAACACAGTTTATTTGGCATGGTCCCCCCTTCAATAAACAAAAATACTGGAGGTCGGAGCCTGACCAGCGAGCTGGCAAGATGTGTCTCGCATGAGCTCCTGTCATATAGCGAAACAAACTGAGATTGCTTGGGCTAAAGTGCTGGGAAATACCATCTCAAGTGACCTATAAATGGGGGGAACCCGCAAGCACCCTATGGTACCGGTACCAATGCTCAGAGTGCCCGATAACTACAGCAGCAGATTGCAGCCTTCCAGAGATGGAGAGGGGGAAAGGCAGCCACTTTCCCTCCGCTGACACAAGCCACACACGGACACGACTCAATCCCCCCTGCCCCCTGCCCCCGTGGGGGTTATCGTAGTCCCAGCCGATCTGAGCTGACAGCGCCATAACTCTTGACGAACCCCGCTGCACTCCCAAGCTAAACGGGAGCAGAGGCATCCAAGATGGCGGATGCGCATGGCCCAGCTACACACGGCCTGCAGCTACCTCAACCCGACTTTATGAGCTCCAGCAAAGACGCAAGTGACCCTATCGAAATTATCTTCAATCGATTCTCGGCTAAGCTGCTGAAAGGCATGAAGCCAGCGATGAAAACATATGAGCCACCTCAACGAAAGCAAGGCAGAGGCAAGAGGAGGCTTGGGAAACCCCTCAAGGGCACAACACTGCGCCCAGCTTCAGCCACCAGCACATATTGCCGACCTGGTCTGAGGGCAAAATGGGTCTCGACCCAAACTTACCAGCCACACTTACAAAGGGCCAAATGACGCAAAATAAACTTGCAAGACGCATGTAAAATCCACCCTATTATCCCACATGGGAAGACCCTGGACCTCGACGGACCCCAGGCTTGTGGCCACAAGGTACCAGCTCTCCCACAACCCAGGGGCTGGAGGGGCACCCCAACTCCACACCACCGCAGTGCTCCCCAAAGTGGACTATGCTCAACAACACAACATGACCCCCATAGGAGAATAGGATGAATGTCCGACCTGCCCACTAGTGGGACCTACCTGACGGCCTGTAACTTGAGTCCAACACATACTATCCTTGACTCATAACCAAGCTTTGATGAGGACAAAGCCAGATTGGGCGGTATACTGGCATAGCGAGCACCTTGATCACAATGTTATTCATGTTAGATATATGCACACCCTACCTAAAGTAACCTACATGCCTCTAGTAATGGTTGTGAGTAGGGAAGTATAAGCCCTGTTACGGTGATCAGCTGGAAAAAATATTTCCAAACTTCAGACCCCAGCACGCATAATGAATCTTGTCTTACTATGCCTAAACAACTGTTTATCACTAATAGTGTTGTCAGTTAGCACAACCTGTTTAACCCCTTGCTTCACGTTATTGACACGCTGACATACCTACCGATGCATGATTATCTTGTTAATATTATAAAAAAGTGCACGTTTTTCCTATTATCCCCATGTAATGAGTGATGCTATGCCTGAGGATTGGGGTAACGTAAGCTTGTCTGTATTAATCTTATGCACTGCAAAAAAAAAAAAAAAAAACTGAATCAAAAACAACCTGAAAAACACATCCTGTGGTGATGTCACTTCCACTTAAGTGCTGCTTTTGGTCATCTGTAGGCATGCTGATGACAAGTGCCCAGTATGCTAAGTCTGATTAAATTTGCCAGGGCCCTAGGCAGAATCCCAGCTTAGGGCCCCCTCCCCTAGAACTCAGATTTTCTGTGAGTGTTGTGCATGGAAGAAGTTGAGACTTGTATAGTAGGAAGGCAGAGTGTGCTGATTAAAGGGACACTCCAGGCACCCAGACCACTTCTGCCCATTGGAGTGGTCTGGGTGCCAACTCCCACCACCCTTAACCCTGCAAGTGTAATTATTGCAGTTTTTAGAAACTGCAATAATTACCTTGCAGGGTTAAGTCCTCCTCTAGTGGCTGTCTATCAGAGGGACTTCAGTGTTCTTAGAACAGGAAAAGTGTTTTAAAACAACGCTGGACGTCCTCACACTACGTGAGGACTTCCAGTGTCGCCGAAATCCACATAGGAAAATATTGAATAACGCTTTCCTATGGGCAGGTCTAATGCGTGTGCGCGGCCATTGCCGCGCATACGCATTAGGTCTACCCCTCCGGCTGACGTCGGCAGAGGAGGAGAGTAGATGGAGCATGACCCAGCACCGAGGGACATTGGACTCAGGTAAGCAACATGGGATGGGGGGTGGGAGGGAGAGGGGCACTGCAGGGTCCTGCAGTGCCAGCAAAACGAATATGTTTTTTTGGCACTGTAGAGTCCCCCTAAGTGCTGTTTGTGTGGTGGCTGTATTTTCTGTGTGGGGTGGTCAGTGTGTTGTGTGTGTGAAGTGTGTCTGAGTGTGGCTAGGTGTTATGTGGGAGAGGTTATGTGGTGTGATATCTGAGTGTTGTGGAGAAGTTTAATGGAGATTTTTTCAGTTCTGCTTTTTTTGCTTACCTTGAAAATTACTCAATACCCTCTGCTGTTTGGAGGGGTGGGGCATGGTTTTAAAGAAAAAAATGTCCCCCTATGAATTTTGTTCAGTGCCCTGTTATGATTTACTTGTTGTTCCCTCTAGTCTAGTGCTATTATATTTTCTGATAGTATTTACTGGTATTTTTGAATTGGTTTGGTATTTGAACTATTCTGCTTTCTGGTATCCTTGACTAGGCTCGTTTTTTCATTTATCCTGTTTTCTGGTTTCCTGACTATTCCTTATCAATATCCTGATCTCGGGTTTTACTAGACTCTGGCTATTCCTTGACTATTCTTTTGCTATCCACATTAATTCCAGCCATTCTAAGGTCCGATAAGTTTTCTCTCCTTAGCGTTGCATTCTGCATGTTGGGGTCACTTTGTCATAACACTGAGTCCTTGAGAAGTGATAGGAGACTGTAAAGGAGCTATTAAAGAGATCTGCAACCAACAGAGTTGCAGACCCAAAAGCTCCATCAATATAGTAAGGGGCGCAGGGTTGAGTAAGGATATCTATTTATTTCTCTGCCGACTCAGAGAAGGACTCCTCACAAACAGAACTGGAGCTGCAGGCCCAGACATGGTCCCACCGACTTATGTCACCTTATGGGTTATATTGCTCTTTCAATATGCATAGAATTAATATTAGCAAACCCCAGCTGGCTAATGACGCTGCTGGAAGTAGAGTTACACCCTGGCAACAATTTGTTATATCTTTGCATGTACAGCGTTTCATATTGAAACACTGCACATACAGACTCCAAGCACCATGAACAACTCAAAACTCTGAAGTGGTTGTGGTGTTTTAAGTAACCCCCTTAACAATAATTATGGATGAGTTGTGTGAGTTGCCAAAATTAGATAGATACATCCAGCTTGAAAATAGTATATATATATATGTAAACTTTTGTTGTGGCATTTTGTGTTTACATTTTTAGGAACTATACACTTGCTACGACATACCCATTTTAATGATACATATAAGGTATAGCGTTCCTTCCTATATCTCCACTATTTTTTATAGAGCGCTCCACCATCACTTTGAGTGTTTACTTCTTTTGTTGTGGCATGTTTAACAATTCTATCTCAGAAGATGTTTAAAAGATTTAGGAAACATTATCATCGTTCTACAATATGTTACGGAATTGGAATATTTGCACTTCTACATAGAGGTTTGTTTCTTGTATGTGTGATGTCATGTGACCAGCAACCTGCACACCTCCATTTAATACAGGTATAAATATAGCAACAATGTTCATGAAAAAAATAAAAAAAATGCTTTATACGTCCATGTAAAAATGCCAAGTAGAAGATTTTGTATCCGTTTTTAGCCTAACATGAATGCAGAGAGAAAAGCAAAATTCTTGTTAATTTGTTAAATGTAACAAATTCCCTTAAATTATACGTTAAATTATATGAGACAGAATCACTTGTAATTTTTTTAGATATATATCCTCAGGCAACATACTCAGTGTAAGATTTACTATATAATTGAAGTAGAAAATATGGAGTAGTGACATGAACGGACATGTTAAAAAATTTTTAACAATGCAATTATATAGTGGAAATAATATCACAAAAAGTACAAAAACAAACTCCCAAACAAACTAAAAAAACAAAAAAAAAAACATTTTATAATCAGAAAGATTTAGGAAAGGTTTTTTTTAAAGGATGGAAAATAGCATATAAAGATTAATATATATCATATTTACAAATTTAGAGTAGGGATTGAGGATCCAATATTTTTTCATCAATAAACCAATTTCAATGATGTTACATATGAGTGCTTAACGTATAGAGATTTGTTTGACTACCTACGGAAGATGACATCTTTTAAATGAGCGCCATTTGCTGCTTTGTAATGGTCGGGCTCTTTTGATTGCATTGTTCATACCATTAGTTAATGTTTGAGGCTCGAGTGCTCAAATTTCTTCATGATAACTTCCTCCAAGGTCACCCCGCACCAGACATCTTAATATGTTTGAGCTTTTAATTGACAGATGTAGAAATGCTGAAATACCGTATTTACTCGAATCTAAAGCGATATCGAATCTAATGCGCAAATCGATTTTTGAAAGCTCGAAGCTGAAAAATGTTTTTGCTGGCGAATTTAATGCGCATTTATAAAAGAAGATGCTACTATACAACATTGTGCTACAAAGAAAATTGACATTGATGGCATTTCAATTTTAGTGTCACATGTTTGCTTTTCTTTTTTAAATCTTTTTTTATTAAATAATTTTGCCTGTGTGAATTCGCCGGAATGAAATTCTCCTGTGTAAATTCACCTGTGTAAATTCACCTGTGTAAATTCACCAGTTTTAATTTACTAGTTTTCATTCGCCTGTGTGAATTTGCCAGAGAATGTCTAATTTTGCCCCAAATGTAATGTACCATTGAATCCAATGCGCATTTAGATTTTGAAAACTATATTTTCCATAAAAGGTGTGCATTAGATTCAAGTAAATAGGGTATATTCTTGTTGTATTTTCTACCTGGGGCTAGTGTTGTATGATAAACATGAATATGAAGAGCCTTAACCCAGAGTCATATTGATTTTGCTAAACATTTATATTGGAATAGTCAGCACAAATATCAGAAAAGGAAGTTCCAGCAATCGTTGATACTAAAACCCCTGCAAGGGATTGCTGAGTAGTATTCTGGGGATGTTACACGGCTTTTTATGTCTCTTTACAAAAGTACACACCATTTTTTGATAGCTTTAAGTTTATAGTGTTATGTACTCAGTTGCACAATAAGATTTTCTGGTGTTGTAATGATAGTGAAGTTACACCTTTCCTACAAAGGCCAAACCTCAAATGCCAGGGATTGCCACTTTCTTGTCAGTCCTCATTGGTAATAGCAAGATCCCTGCAGTATTATTTGAATGACACCATTAAATAACTACCATAAATCATCAGACATTTATTTTTATTTTTTACCATATTGCTAGAGAGAAATTTGTTTTTCTATTCGTTCTTGACTGTCTGCAGTCTGATGTTCAATCTCTCATTAGTAGTCTTCTTTCTGACAAATACTCTCACATGTGTTTGTTTACTCTAAAAGTATAGATCATCAATTACTTGCCCTTTAAATGGTTACTCCAAGCACCATAACTACTTTAGTGATTAGTGGTCATGGTGCTTGGAGTCTGTATGTGTAATGTTTCAGTTTGAAATGCTACATACAGAGTTAAAAGACCTTGCTTCCTAAGGTGTAACTCCCCCTCTGGCAGGGTCATTAGCCAGCTCAGAACATGAGTTCTATGTTAATTCTGTGCATACTGGGCATGTGTTGTCAATACATATATCATCTAGCAACCAAGGATCTAGGGCAGCACACCCTTCCTTTCTGTGATGTCCATGTCTTGCTCTCAGCCTGGCCTTTGAGATGTCCCTACCACTCCAGCAAGGGGCAGAGATGTCACCAGGGGAAGATTGGGCTGCAGGAAGAACTTGGCATTTATACTTTATTTCTTTCTCTATTCCTTGTTTTTCAGGTGCAAAAACACTGCTTTTGTTTGGAATAACCCTTATGCTACCACTTTTGACTAGTTCATGTTAATGTTGTCTATGTTGTCTATTATCTTTTGGTTTGATAGGAACATTTTTTCTCATACTCTTCCTCCACATTATTTAAAGGAACACCATACTGACTACAACAATGTCATCTAAAGGAAGTTTTTATAGTGACTACAATTGTTTCCACCTTCTTAGTAACCTCAAATGAGAGTATTTAACTTATTAGAAGGCATGGGAGTAGGGTTTCAAGCCAATCTAGCAAGTCTTCTAGGGACTAGAGAATACCATGACGGCATGTGGGCATATACTGATTCTCTGTGAAAGACTCATAGGCACATCGCGGTAAGCCCAGTACATGTGCCTATGGTCCCCAATACTCCTGTATGAGGAACATTGAATTGGACTGTAAACCTGGAGGTATGACCAGAAGGAGTTGCAGAAGAACACTCGGCGCTGGAGAGAATTGTTTAAAATCCTTTTTTAATTTTATATTCTTTGGTAATTGCATGTGGGGGGTCTAAAACTAGGGACATTTAGACTGTAGCATTAGGATTACAAATATGTATCCCCAAGTGTTCATTTAAAGAGGAACTGTCACTTCCCAGGCATTTGAATATTATGTTTACTTATTCCTGCATGTATCAGAGTCTGTACAGATGTTTTAACAGCAACTAGATGCATACTTGCAAAAACAAAATATTCAATGATAACAATTTTCAACTGTAGGGTAATAGCTTTTTGATCCAAGGATAAATCTTACTACCATTCTGGGTAGTCTGGGTATTGCCGACTTTTGGATCAACAGCAAAAAACATGTGAGGAACTTGATGGACACATGTTTCTTTTTCATGTAACTATGCAACTAATTGTGTAAATATCAATGGTTTACCTGCAGGGTGTGAATAATAAAATACAATTTAAATCTCTTTATCATGCACTTGGGTGCCTCCATCTTAACTTCTTGTCAATCATTGTTATAAGGCAGTGATGGCGAACTTTTCTGAGCCTGAGTGCCCAAACTGGCAGCGGTGCCTGGTTGACGTAATTTCCTGTCTCCTGGCGGCATCAGCGGAGGGAGCCTGGGTGGACTTCAAACCCCCATCCGCACCAAAAAAACCATTATTTAATACTTCAAACCCCCACCCGCACCAAAAATTTTTTATTTAAAACAATCTGTATCCCCCCCTCACTTCTTCTTACCTTTTGTGAAGGAGGGGAACACAATGAATTCCCTGGTGGTCCGGTGGTGGTAAGAGGGACAGGTTCTGCAGCTCTCCTGCCCTTCCTCGATCTGTCCCCCTGCCTCCGGACACGGAAGCAGAGTAGCCGCCTGCTGTTTTGGGTAGGCAGGTACCTACTTTGCATTTATGCCGACCGGCGACCTATGGCTGTGTGCCCACAGAGAGGGCCCGGCGTGACACCTGTGGCACGCATGCCATAGGTTCACCATCACTGTTATAAGGTCTGTACTTTTCACTTGGTAGTCAACATAGAGAAAGCATACAGAGAATAGAAGCAATGAAATATTTCTATTTCTCGTCCATCTCTGCAATGATTGCCTAGGCTTTGCCTTGTTTGAGCTAGTTCATGAATTTATTAACTAAATCTTAAATACAAATTTAAATATAAATTTAAAAGAAAACAGAATAGTTCATCGAAAAATGGTTACCACAAACTGTTTCATTGTTTTATTCAATTGTGTAATTTCCAAAGAAGTAGCAATTTTTGAGTTTTTCTATATTTTTTTTAAACTTCTCATTATGACTTACTCTCCACTACTCTGCTCTCTATTGGAGTTTTGAAAATATTGCTATGTATCCCACTACACATGCCCCACCCCAACTTGTTACATGAGCTAAAACTCCCCACATCTGTAATTAGATCCTCCCTTCTACCAAACGTTCTGTGAGCTTATTCTCACAAGATCTATTGCTATAGTGAACTTATTATCTGTTACTACCTTTCTCCTTCACCATTGAAGCTTTCAGTAAATATTCCTATAATTAAAAGAACTCTCTAAATACCGTAATCACTACAGTCTAATTGTTATGATGCCAGAAGGATCCTGGGGCCCTCTCAGTGCAATATATCAAACCACTTTAGAATAGTATGGCAACTTACTTGGTTCCCCTGGGTGCCTGCTCTGCATCCTGTCTTGTCCTGCAGAAGAAGCGAGATGCCTTAACTGAGCTAAACTTGGCCAATCCAGGACCGTCCTCATTGGCTTAGTTGTAGCTCAGTTGATGCTCTCAGCCAATGAGCACAGCTCTGCACAGCTCTACTTAGCTTCATTAAGCTAACTGTATTCTCCTTGCACAGGCTGCAGGCAAGTTGTCAAACCATTCTAAAATAGTTTCACAAATTGAACTGGAAGGGCATCAGCGCACTCCTGGCATCATAAATAGGTGTTGTGGTTATGGTGCTTGTACTTTTACTTTAGGAAGTATGTAGATAACTTTAATAACCCCTAGTACCATGATATTTACAAGGCAAAATATACATTTGTTATTCATGTATGGCACTAACTGGCAGCATAACCTTGTATCTTGTGTGTTGTAACCATAACATTGTTAATGATCCCCAACTTTTTGTTAATGCTTTTACCCCAATTCAATTTGGGGTGCTAGAACGTTTGATCTGCAAAATAAACAACACTTTGGAACTTGTTTAAGGAAAATGACAAAAATAAAAACAAAGAAAAGAAATTATCACATGTTGTCAGAAACACATATGTTAATATAGAATGTGAAGATTACAGTGTTATCTATTTTCATAATGTTTTTTATTCAAACATGCTTTTTGAAGATCAACCTGAATCTATCTATCTATCTATCTATCTATCTATCTATCTATCTATCTATCTATCTATCTATCTATCTATCTATCTGTCTATCTATGACTCTCTGTTTGTTTGTTTGTTCTTTGCTTTATATATATATATACATGGAAACCATTACCCATAGTGGAAATTGTGTATACTTGTGTATTTTTTTACATTTCTGTTTCAGCAGTACTTAAAAAAAAAAAAAAAAAAGCTGCATTTGCACCATTAGAGCCTGGAAGCAATGTCATTCTTTAAATTTCATTTTAGAGTAGGTTAAAAAAAAGTACTTTTTTTGTTTGCCTTCCAGGCATGTCAAGTGTATAGATCATGTAAACTGATCTCCTCACACCAATTCTGACCAGGTTTCAGAGTATATATAAGTAAGAGATTTCATCCAAACCTCAGAGGGGATCTATCTCCTTCAATCTGTCTTCTGTTTCTTTACATTTATTTTCCCTTTTCCCCCCAAAATGAGTCAGTTTAAGCAGTTGAAATCGGGTGGTGGCTTTAGCTCCTTTTCTGTTTCAAGAGGAGGCAGCGGTAGGGCTAGTTCAAGTTCTGGTGGAGCTGGTGGTTTTGGTAGCAGAAGTCTTTACAATTTAGGGACTAAGAAGACCGTCACTATCAGCACTGGAAACGCTGTATACGGATCTGGAGTTGGAAGTGGAGGTGGAGGTTTTGGAATAGGATATGGTAGTGGCGGTGGCGGAGGTGGTGGTTTTGGAGGTGGTGGCTTTGGTGGTGGAGGAGCAGGTGGATTTGGATCATTTGGAGGTGCAGGTTTTGGTGGAGGCCAATCAGCTGGCATCCAAGAAGTTCAAGTTAATGTTGGTCTTTTGACCCCACTGAATTTGGAATTTGACAAAAGCATACAACAAGTACGAGTGGAGGAAAGAGAACAAATCAAAACCCTTAATAACAAGTTTGCTTCTTTCATTGACAAGGTAATGTTTGATTTTACATCTTATACTTTTTCATTGAAAATTCAGTCTTTGTTCATTGTTTGACTCAAAATATTTTACAATTGTACATGATACTTAAGCAAAATTGTATGTCTGTCATTACTGGATTATTCAAATAAAACTGATTTCCATAGAAATCGAATGTACTCACAAACAATTTGATGCTGTTATTGTTGTTGGCTTTTAAATAGAGCTAACATTTTCTAAAGCGCTTTACAATTATTTAGTGGGTTCATTTCCTACGTAATTGAAAGATAAATATAAAGTTGACAGCTACAAGAGGCAAAGAGGCCATGCTCAAATGAGCTTACAATCTTGGAGATAGAGTTTTGCCATATAACGATTTAGAAAATTTCAGTTTACGTCTTCTTGTACAAAAATCCGTGTGGCATTAGTCCACAGTCCACTTGCAATGTTAGAAGATTTGTTATGGTTACACGTGCTCATATTATGTTATTCGTCTCTAATATTTATACTCATGGCATTGCATTTTCCTAATAATTGTTTGGACTCTTTGTTTGACATTAGGTTCGTTTCCTTGAGCAACAAAACAAGGTACTGGAGACAAAATGGAATCTCTTGCAAGAACAAGGTGGCCAATTGAAAGGTTCAGGTTCTCGGAAAAACAATATTGAAGCCATTTTTGAGGCATACATAGCCAACTTAAAGAGGCAGCTGGATGCTTTGCAAAATGATAAATTCAGACTTGATGGAGAACTAAGAAGCATGCAAGACTTGGTTGATGATTTCAAGAACAAGTGAGTCATTTAACATCTATATTTCCTGATATTATTTAAATTGTCATTTTTTTTTTTTAGTTCTCTCTCTCTCTCTGTCTGTCTGAAACTGTCAAACCTGTCTTAGTTGAAGATTGTTCCATCTTAGCGGTTTTTATCCACATTTTTGTAAACCTTTACAATTCACTATTTAGTCAATAGACCATCGACCCAGCATATTGCTTCCTCAATTCAATTTTGATTACACACAAATTAGTAGTGACACACTTTTTTTCTTTGTAGATATGAAGATGAAATTAATAAGAGGACATCAGCTGAAAATGAATTTGTAGTAATTAAAAAGGTAAGATTTTTTTTACTGGTTTAAGATGTATTTTTAATTTGCAAAGTAATAAAAATGATTCTTATTTTTCTTTTTTTTATTACAGAGGATAAATCAAGAGCAGGATATATATAGAATAAAGAAAGTAGAAAGCAGAATTAGTTTGAAAGCCAGCAATTGATAATTAGTTTTTTCCAGGTGTAAAATCAGTTGCATTATAATCTGTAGAATATAAGTAATTAGTCAGATTAACCCATGTATAAATCATGGGTGTGGCTTCATTCAAAGTGATATCAATTAGAGAAGTACATTATTTTGGGTGTAACTTGGCAGGCTTCTGGCAATTAGAAATTAGTAACCCGCGTATCATTTATCATTGCTTATAGATACTAAGCAAGTCTTAACACAAAAATTGAATAGTCAAATTCTACCAGCCAAGAACAAGACAAAAGTAGAGATGCTCAAAAGCAGGGTTGCCCAAAAGGTAGATCCTCAGATGTTGTAGAGCTACAACTCCCATAATGCTTTGCATACCTTTATAATGCTCTAGAATGACAAAGCATCATGGTAGCTGTAGTTTTAAAACATCTTAGAATCTACCTTTTGGGCACCCCTGCACTAAAGTCTGATGAATTATATAGAGCAGAGGTTCCCAAACCAGTCCTCAAGGCTCCCCTAGCAGTCCAGGATTTAGGGATTACCCAGTTAGACACAACTGGGTAATCTCTAAACCCTGGAGTGGTAGGGGAGCCTTGAGAACTGTCTTGGGAACCACTGATAAATAGCATTAATTAAAGTGCTTTTTAATACACACACATACAAATACATCTTTTTTTTATACAGCATCATTATTATCAGGAAAGCTTTCTTAAAAGCATAACTGTTTATCATAACAGGTGCAAATCCTATAAATGGCACAGACATAAAAAGCTATAGGGAACACAACAAATACAATTCATGGTTTAGATTCAGGAATACAATAATGGGTCCAGGTTGTATCAAGAGTGAATAATTATCTAAACCTAAGGACATCCTTGAAAATTTGTGAATATTTTTATTGTTTATTATGACCAATAAAACTCAAGAACATGGCATAGGGACCACATTTAAAATGTATTTCGTAGTAAACCATTGCCTTTTTTAACCGCTTCTCTATTATTGTTTTAGGATGTGGATGCAGCCTACATGGGAAAGGTGGAGCTGGAGGCTAAGGTTGATGCCTTAACCGATGAACTCAACTTCTTGAAGACTCTCTATGGAGCGGTAATGCATATATATTGTTTTATTTCTTTAATCTTATTTAATGAGCAATAGAGAAATTGTGTCAGCATTATCTAAGTACGTGCAAGGCTTGCTTTAGTCCAAATTATGGCCATTAAAAAAGTCCCATGGAGATCCTAAGTTAGTGAGACGTTAGGAATATGAAGCTTTATTTATTTTTTTAACAAAATGCTAAGAAGCAGCTCTTTAAAACTCAATTTCATTGCTCTGTAATGATTTTAAATTGTGGTTATTTTATAGAACTGTATGATAAAACTGGGGTGGCCTTATTTCCTAGAACAACCACACACTGATTGACATGTTCGATTTTGATAGGAAATGGAACAGTTGCAGGCTCAAATCTCAGATACATCAGTCATCCTTTCAATGGACAATAACCGCGCTTTGGACCTGGATGGCATTATTGCTGAGGTGAAGGCTCAGTATGAAGACATTGCTAAGAAGAGCCGAACAGAAGCTGAAGCTGTTTACCAGGGCAAGGTAATTAATATTGATTAAGCTGACTCCTTAAAGAAGACAAGACAACTCAACAGAAAAAAAATAATTAGCTACATACAAGTTCCAAATATAACATTGTATATTTTTTTTAAATTTCTTTGCATAACATATAACTATATGTCTATATAACTATATAGCTATATCAATGTCTGCAAAAAATTGACAGACAATTAAAAAAAAAAAAATCCTTTACAATCTCAAGAAAAAAAAATAGACTCCGCATTACTTTACAATAGTAAATTGATATATGATATGTGCACTATCTGTGCTCTTAGGTAACACGTCGAAGTATAAATTGAGGATACTAGACACGACAAGGTGATACATTTTAAAGATGGTAATTACAAAGTGAACCTAAAATGATAATAGCAGTTTTGCCATTAACTGAAGACTCTAAGGTATTGAGTCATTAAGCTAAAAATTCTCTTAACGAGCTAATCAAATTTGTTACTCTTTGATGTTAAATTTAGTGATCAAGACAAAGTTGTACAAATCAGTTGCATTAGAAGACTAAGATACTCAAAAATGGTAATGTTACATGTTCATTACATAGAACTGACTTATGAATTACATGTACAGGATACCAATAAAAAAAACAAAAAAACTATACAGTAAAATTTATGCTGAAAATACTGAAATAAAAATAAAAAAGTTTGTAAACAAATCAGGTTAGGACATGTTAATAACACGAACGCAACATATTTAACAAATTCAAACTATGTCACAGGCATTACTGTAGGTACGCTAACAAAGTCATGTTAAGGCGTGTAGGTGACGCTGTTGTAACATACCAAACCAACATTAGATATAGCAAAGACGCTAGGTTTAGCTTTAACAAGTCAAGTTACAGCATGTTTACTTAACATACCAAGCTAATTTAAGGTATGCCAAGTCATGCTATAACATGTTAGGTCAACATTACAGACCAATGTAGACAATATTAAATCATGTTAAGGCATGTTACTTCATACAAAATCAAGCCTTGACAAATAATTTGAATTGGCTTTACCAAGACAAGCCAAAATACTTTGTAGGTTTTAAGGATGCTTCCAAAGCCAAACTTGTATATTAAGGACACTACGGCTATTTCCAAAATCCAGTTGAGGCAGATCATTACTATTTTAGGGTCACTGAGGTAGTACAACATGCTAGAGAAAATTAACTAAATATTACTGATGGCTATACAAAATTAAATTATATTAATAAATCCAAAACTGGTTTCTATGTAAAACTGAAGAGCATTAATATTTCAAAAGATAGTTACAGAATTAAAGATAACATTGGGTGTATAACATTAAAACATGAACGCTTGCTAGTAGGTTAACGAAACAATTACTAGATCAACAATATTACATTTAAAGTAGAGTACTGTTATATAATTACGTTATAACATTATAGAGGCAGGCTGTCAGTGTTCACGTTTATACCAATCTTTTCAACATATGCCTTGTACAGTATTTAAAAAAATATGCAGACTTTAGCAAACAAATAGCAACTCTGATCATAAGTAAATGGATGTATCAGAAAACAGTTAATTGGACTCTACTTGAAAGTACAGAGTAGCTCTGTTTAGATTATCATTGAGGAGTATATATGTTAAAATAAACATTTTTTTTTCCTGTAGGTTAAAGAATTACAAGCATCTGCAGGCGAACAAGGAGATGTTTTGCGTAATACCAAGAATGAGATATCAGATCTTAACCGCAAGATGCAGAGACTGAGAGCTGAAATTGAAAATGTGAAGAAGCAGGTATAAAATGGCTTGCAATTTAGGAGAAAAACATTTGTCAAACAAAGAACTTATTACCGATCAATCTATCTATGCCTCGCTTTCATTAACATTTCCTTACACTTTCCCTCATATGGTCCATACATCTAGGAGCTAAGGAGACATGTCCTTGAGTCTCAGTAGTCAATTAAGAAAAGTGAATAAATAGAAATAAGTGAAAATGGCTAGTCTAACCAGTTCTATCCACTTTGAACTTCATAGTTTTATCATTTGCTGTGTATATATATATATATATATATATATATATTTGTAGTCCTGATTTAGTTCACACTGCACTTGTAGTCATTTACAACTTTACAAGGCATAATGTCAAATCTCATGTGTTATGCAGATTGCCAAATTGCAGACAGCCATTGCTGAAGCTGAGGATCGTGGAGATCTTGTCATTAAGGATGCCCATACCAAACTCGCTGAGTTGGAGGCAGCTCTGCAGAATGCCAAGCAGGAAATGGCTCGCCAACTGCGAGAATACCAGGAGCTGATGAATGTGAAACTGGCTCTGGATGTTGAAATTGCCACCTACAGGAAACTGCTGGAAGGAGAGGAGGGCAGGTTAGTAAACACAAATATACAATAACATTGTATATTTTTTTAAAAAAATTTGCACAACATATAACTTACATTTTTTGACATGCATCAATGTCTTTAAAAAGCTCAGAGACAATTAAAAAAAAAATTCTTAACAACCCCCCCCCCAAAAAATAATAGACTCTGCATTACTTTACAATGGTAAATTGATATATGATATGTGCCATGCTTATTCCTGTCTGTTTCTTTGTTTCAGATTGGGAGCAGACAACAATTTCAGCATTTGTAAGTACTATTTGTATAAATCTATTTCAATCTTCCAATGTTGCTAACAGAGAACATATTGGAAAGTACTCCATATAGGGTGCTGACCACAACTTGCCAAGTTACTACTTGATACATATGTGGGTGTGTGTTTATGTATTAGTGATTGTGTGTATTTGTGTTGAATACCTAGAAACTGAATTTGCAAAATGATGTTCGAAATAGACCAACTCAGTTACTTTATATATTCAACCCAGTTACTTTGGCTTAAATAATTTGGTCCTCAATTGACAATTTTCTGTTAGTTAAAAAAAAATCCATACCATCGTAGTTTAGCCTATTTGAACATATAGGCACATAAACAACACGCAACTGCAAAATGATACACTGTTCACAGCTTAGTGTGCCAAGGTTGTAATTGGGGGCGCTTAGTGCATTTAAATGTAGGAGGTGCAATGATGTCTAGTTGAGAGGAGAGAGTGGAGTTGTAGTGGGAGGTTGCAGTGTTAGGGCAGGTGAGATTTGAGATGGGTGAAAGGAGACTTTGGAGGTTGCTGGGGAAGTGCTGTAGGTCACGACAATAGAGGTTTCTGCAAGACTGATGGGGTGAGGGTGGTTTACTTTGGGTACGGGTATGCAGAAGTCAATGGACAGTAGATGGTGGTCCGATAGAGGATATGGAACATTGGATAGATTAGAGGTGGTACAGAGATTGGTGAAGATGAGGTCAAGAGTGTTTCCTGCTGTACGAGTTAATGAATTAGACCACTGTGTGAGTCCAATGGAGGAGGTTATAGTTAACAGACGAGTGGCATCAAGGCAGTTAGGGTTGTTGATTGGGATATTAAAGTCCCCAAGAATGAGGGAAGGAGTGCTAAAGGAGAGGAAATGGGGTATCTAGGAAAAAAAGTGTTCTATGAATAGCCTAGGATGACCGGGGGGGAGGAGGGGGCGATAAATGATGGCAATTCTTAGAGGAGTGGGTTTAAATAGACGGACAGTGGAAACTTCAATGGAAGTAAAGGATAGGGCAGGGGCAGGGAGGATAGTTTGAAAGGTACATTAAGGAGAGAGAAGAATGCCTACACCACCTCCTTTACAGTTTTTTGGTCTAGGAGTGTGGGAGAATTGTAGCCCACCATAACATAACAAAGCAGGAGTAGCAGTATCAGAGGGAGACAGGCAGGTCTCAGTGAGAGTAAGAAGTGTGAATGAATTTGAGATGAAGAGGTCGAGTATGACTGTTGATTTTATATTGCTGCAGATGGAGCAGGCGTTCCAGAGTGCACACTGAATATTGGTAGATTAACCATCAGTGTTATAATTATGTTAAACCAACAGACAAGTGGCAATAATATGACATGACACAGTTATGGTTACTCTTTTGGTACAGTCTCACCTTTTAAGATTGAATATTAATTGTTTTATTTATCTACAGCTGTGGTCAGTGGAAAGGTCTCCGGTGGAGGAGGAGGTGGAGGAGGAGGAGCTGGATTTGGCTTTGGAAGTGGATACGGCAGTGGAGGAGGTGGAGGAAGTGGTGGCTCTTTCTACTCTGGAGGAGGTGGTGGTGGATTTGGCTCTGCAAGTTCCTCAGGATATTCCGGATTTGGTGGTGGTGGTGGTGGCAGCAGCAGCGTGAGGTTCTCATCAAGCCAATCAAGCTATAGAAGTTAAATACCAAAACCTTAGAAATGTCAGCACCTACAAAATCAAGAAGTGTGGGGCTTCCTTCAAAGATAATAAGCTTTAAAATCACTACATTGCTGATCCTATCCTCTAATGTACAACAGGGCGTATTATGAAGTTGCCATGGAACTTGGTACATCTTTCATAGCTGTAACCATGAGTTTCTACAATTGCTGGAACAGCCAACATTGTTACTTAACACTAAAGGAAGTAAATGGCTTGAAATTTATCAAACACATGGTTTTATTGTATGCCTGACCTAATTGAAATGTTTCTTTTACCCCCTTTTGCAAATTAATAAAAACAAAATCCTTAAAAAAGAATGGCTTATTTTGGGATCATTATGTAGAAATGCATAGGTATAACCAAACCCTGGTTTTAGGTAAAATAAACGTCCAGTTTTTCCTATACCTATTTCCTGTTCCTTCTTGCTTTAATTGAAACGGAATCTTGTAATGCACTGAACAATCATAGTCTATTTCTGGAATTGTTGGGGTAGGTTAAAATGATAATTACTGTGATTTATAGCCATATCTCCTGCTCCTGCTACTGGGATAGCCAGGCCATAAGTTGTATGTAAGCATTGCTAGTTATGGTCTAAATGTAAACTAAGCCCATAATATAATCAGCACTGGCATAGGTGTGGATATACATTACATCTGAAGAATGCTGCCTTAACAATATTTACTGCATGACAATGGGTGTATGACATGATACTGGCTGCATAAATTGGCTGTGTGGGTTTAACTTGTGTCATTACTGTACCTTATGCGCTATACCTTTTTCATGAAAAGCCTCACTTCTGTCAAATAAATGTCAATGGTATTATGTTTCAAGTACATTTTTTACATACACATTTTAAAGATATATTCAAAAATGAATTACTACTTAAGTGAGTGACAGCCAACCTTCTCTAGATTAGAACATGTGTACAAATATAAACAAGCTTGCAGTGGAAGTTAGATCACATATGGTAAATTGGTAATTTATAGCTATTAACAAAACACAGACACCAACAAAACATGCATATACGCAAACACTTTCAATCTTTATGCTTCTTCTCTCATAAATAAGGTCTCATAAATAACCCTTACATATTTTGGTAAAAAGAAGATGCAGACTGCAGAACAGTTATCCTGTGAGTGTCTTTTATCATAAGGAACTAAAACATTGTTAAAGAGTTTGCCATTGTTAATAGAGTTAGAGTGATAAGTTATGGAATGCGGCTGCTTGTAATTAGAACCTGGCTATAGTTTTGTGTTTCTCGTCAGTAGTCCTACACACAGGTGGACACTTGCCTTTGAGGTCTAGTTCATTGTCGTTACATTTACCTCTAAAATCTCTGCTGGAGGAGAATCTGGAAGTCTTTACACTAAACATTGAGAGGTTGGGTTGCTGACTGTTTTGCAAAAGTTAGATCAAAATATCAAACTTTGTAATCAAGAGCAACTCAAACGAGTTACAGTTTTATGTCCTGTTTGGTCAGATGACTCGCTATAGTGGATTTACTTGGA